GGATCGAGCTCGCGCTGACATCCATCACATTTCGTCGGACACTGGCAGATCGGCATGCCATGGAGATAGCAGTCGAGCATCTGAGCATAGCGGTGCGGGAAGGCCTTGAGGGGGTAGTAGCTCGAGACTCGCATCGGAGAGTGGCTCAGGTCACGCTCAGGAAAATGAGCGAAGATGGTAGACTGCAAGACCCTATCCTGCGACTTGAGCGAGTGTGTCCTGCGGCTGTGCAAGGTGAGGATATCACGCTGCTGATCGGTCAGCGCAGCGCGAGCATGCACATGGCGAGGGAAGACGCGCATGACAAGAGGGGTCACATTTCGCTGCGCAGGGGGAGGTAATGGATTTACTGGCAGAAGGTAAAAAGTGCCTCAAGCAAAACAAAGCAGGAACAAGCTGAACCGGCAGGCACACAGTCCACAGGAGGAATGAAGTGCTCATGAGACGAGTCGACGAGAGCGCGCAAACCAGGGATGTGTACCACAGATGCCGGGGGGCGTCCTGCGTCATCAGGCACAGCAGCCGGGGCAGGTGGGATCGCCGCTGGGGAGCTTGCTGCTGGTTGCAAGGTGAGGATATCACGCTGCTGATCGGTCAGCGCAGCGCGAGCATGCACATGGCGAGGGAAGACGCGCATGACAAGAGGGGTCACATTTCGCTGCGCAGGCGGCGGAATGAAGTGCTCATGAGACGAGTCGACGAGAGCGCGCAAACCAGGGATGTGTACAGATGCCGGGGGGCGGCCTGCGTCATCTGGTATCTCGCGGACATCATTGGTTCAGCTTGTTCCTGCTTTGGTTTGCTTGAGGCACAGCGGACGTCTCGACTGACAGTGGTCAGTCGGCTGCCTCCGGGTATCGCGTCTAAGGGATTTTCTTCCTCCTGCTTGCTCCTGCTGCTTGTTGCTTGATTGCTTGACCCTTAGGCTGCTTGTCGGTACGGTCTGCGCGGCTTCGCGCTTGGGCTGGCGGTGCCGCGTCTGGGTGCCAGCAGTGCTGGTTCTTTTCGGGCTTGTGTTTTGTGTGTGATTGTGCAGCTTCTCGCTGTGCGCTGTGTGCCAGGAGGTTTAGCTTGTTCCTGCTTTGTTTTGCTTGAGGCACTTTTTACCTTCTGCCAGTAAATCCATTGCTGACCCTCCCATCCTCATGGCCGCAAGATGAAGGGCGATATCCACATCCCTGGAATCCGCGATCGAGGGTCCGAGCAGTACGAGGGCTTGATGGCGGACGTGACGTTGGTCCACCCTTACATTCAAGCACATAGGATTTACTGGCAGAAGGTGAAAAGTGCCTCAAGCAAACCAAAGCAGGAACAAGCTAAACCGGCTTGCACACAGCTCACAGCGAGAAGCTGCACAAACACACACAAAACACAAGCCCGAAAAGAACCAGCACTGCTGGCAACCCGGTCAGCAGACCCGGCATCGCCAGCCCACTGCTGAGCCTCGGAGCGCGAAGCCGCGCAGACAAGCAGCCGAAAGGTCAAGCAATCAAGCAACAAGCAGCAGGAGCATGCAGGAGGAATAAAATCCCTTAGACGCGATACCCGGAGGCCGCAGCCGATTTTTACCTTCTGCCAGTAAATCCACTACTACTGACCACTGTCAGTCGAGACGTCCGCTGCCGCCACAAAGCTGGCGGTCGCGGACGGAGAAAGGGCAGCCGCCTCGGACAAGGAGCCGGCGTTGCCCGGGGGTCCGCCGGGGTTAGCGGACCGGAGGGAGGCTGGACACAGGAGCACGGTACCGCTCGAGGTAGTCCTCCTCGCTAGCCTCCGAGTCAGCGGTAGTGTTAGGATATGCTCCTAAACTGTGATTCAAATAACAGTGCGAGTGATGCGCAGCAGTTCCTTCAAGAAACAAACAGTATCTACGATCCGTAAACCATGCACGTGAAGTTTATTCTTTCTCAATTTTCCTGCCTCAGATACCTCAAAATAAAGTAAGTAAAGTTAGCACAATAAATCCTATCATTCGCTCCCACTAGCACAACAATTGAGAATCTTCTTCACATTGTCTTCGCTGCAAATATCAACGAATCAACAAATGTTAATCCCGAATCATCTTCTTCAATGCATCCGTGGTAAATTCACGAGAATGCAACCAAGAATTGTCTGAAGATTGATCGTACCCTTTCCATTTGACCAAATATTGCACTCGATTACCTTTTCCACGACGTGCTAAAATTCGTTCAACTTCGTAAAAATCTCCGTTTTGTTGAATCAATGGCAATGGAGGTGCCACCGAATTTTCCAAATCAACGTCACGAACGTAATATGGTCTGAGCTTCGACACATTGAAAACAGTTTTGTTCAAATGCTGAAACCTTGCTGTGAATTCCAATCGAACTGAACTATCCGAAACTTTCTCATGTATCTTGAAAGGTCCAACGAAACGCAACTTCATCTTTGCCACTGTTTCTGGTAACTTCAGATCCCGAGTTGATAGCATCACCATCTTACCAATCTTGTAATCTCGCTGCTTGCGATGTTGCTTCAGAAATTTCTCGGTTTGAATCGCAGACAACGTCAGTGCGTCTCTTGCGATGTCGATTGCAGCCAAAATTTCATCTCTTACCTCGTCGACATCCTCTTCTTGATCGTCCGGTGATAAATCGACCACAGTCCGAACATCACGACCATAAATAATCTGAAATGGAGTGAGATTTGTAGAATTTCTGACTGTCGAGTTCCAAATTGTTTCCAAATGAATCAAATAATTGTCCCATAATTTTGCATCGTTCTTCAAACAGAAAATACGCAATGCCTCGACGATCACACTGTTGAACTTCTCCACTCTGCCTTGTGCCTGTGGGTAATAGACACTACTGTGTTTCACATCGACCGCCATCAATCGAAACAATTCTTCCCAAAACTGAGATGAAAACAAAGAGCCATTGTCTGAGACAATCGTCTTACAAATACCTTGAGCTCTGTAAACAGTTTCAAAATAAGCCTTGGCAGCTCCCTTGGAATTGATCGACTTCTTACAAGGATACAGAAATACTCTGTTCGAAAATTGATCAAGAAATACAAGCACACTATCATTTCCTCTCTTCGACACAGGTAACGCTGAAAGCAAATCCACAGTGATCTTTTCAAACCTTTCCCGAGGAACCAAATGACTATGCGGAACTCCTGCTGACCTTTGCTTGTAAGACTGTGCCTGTGAACACTCGGAACATGAGTTGACGTAGTTTGTCACATCTCTTGCCGGATCAACACCCTCTACAACTGTTGAAGATCGGATGTCACCTTAATCGGTGCCCACTGCGATGCCTGGATCACCTTCAATCTGGCTCGATCCATACCACAATCGCCCTTCTCCAAAACTACAGTCCCGGCATACATGTACGATGGATACTTTCCTATGTGATCCATCGAACAGTAGTCCTCTTCTGCCATACCATCAGCTTCCACAGCCGCCTTCACTTTACCCATCAAATGCATCTTAATAAATTGACTGTAAAGTCCAGAAACGAAATTTCTTTCCAAATATGCTGTTGCCATCAAATATTTTCGTCGAAACTTGTAACATGCAATGATGTGATTGGCACCCTTTCCAATCTGTCGAACATTTTTCTTTTGATGCTCAACCAGTTTTGCAACATCCAAATCCCCCTGATTACCATTACCCGGTAAGGACATGGCCTGCTCCTCGTCAGTCCGTGTAACCATCCAACTGATCCTCTTGTCCTCAAAAAGCGACGCTGCCATTGCATTCCGATTTTTCTGATGCTTGCATTGCACCTCTACATCTCGCAACCAAGTCACAAGTGACTTATCAACATCGACAATCCCATCGAATAGCGACACATACTTCATACCAATATTGCAGGTACAACCCAATGCATCCTGTTCATATGTGGACCCGTTATCCAGAGCACTCTTTTCCTCAAAATGCTCCATACTTTTGACTGAATGTGCTAAACAAGCTTGAGTCCCCGACGGCATTTGCTCTGGAAGTACTTCATGGGTTCGCTTAACTTGCTCCATTTCCATACGCATAGCATCTACTAGTCGACTCAATGTGCACGCAATTCATCGTTCTCCTCTTGGAGATCCCGATAAGTTGCCCTTCCTAAGAACGGTTTTTGTTGTACATCATCCATTCCCAATGTTTTCGGCGCAATGTCCACGCCACGTCCATCCATGGACTCTGGCACAAGAGAACCTGTCTGCCCCGATCCTGGCACACAAGATTGTACCTCACAGATCTCAGACTTCTCCCGTTCACAAGTATTGATTCTTTCTGGAGAACCCCTCATGGTATCTCTCATGAAAGTACCAAACTTTGACATTCCAGATTTCACCATACCAGAAATCCCAGAATTGCCAGGACGAACATTGTTCGCAGACATAGATCCACTGTTAACCATGTTTTCTTGATTACTTCGCTACAAGCCGCTGAAATTTGAAGTGAAAACCAAGCTTCGCCTACCAAAATGTTAGGATATGCTCCTAAACTGTGATTCAAATAACAGTGCGAGTGATGCGCAGCAGTTCCTTCAAGAAACAAACAGTATCTACGATCCGTAAACCATGCACGTGAAGTTTATTCTTTCTCAATTTTCCTTAAATATAGAGGATTAGCTAAAACCAGGAATCTGCCTCAGATACCTCAAAATAAAGTAAGTAAAGTTAGCACAATAAATCCTATCAGGTAGCCGAGACCAACACCGCCCGTGACGGCGGCGACGCCGCAGCAATCATTCTCGCAGAAGGTGAAAAGTGCCTCAAGCAGAACAAAGCAGGAACAAGCTAAACCTGCATGCACAGCGAGAAGCTGCACAAACACACATAAAAAAGTAATACGGTGTTGCAAGATTGCCTGGAATTCTTGGATGTATCTCCTGCTCTTTGCTCCAATCTCCCGGAGTCCTCCTTTTGGCAATGCCGAGCGATGAGGCAGCCCTTGACGACGGTGGCCGCCCTGATTGCGCCACCCTGATTGCGCCGCCATTGCCCCGGAAGGGCCTGAAAGTGAACGGCATGCTCCGACGCATCGTATCTTGACTAAGTTGGAACTCGCCGACCAAACGCTGCATCCTCAAGAGGCATCGAGCGCTGAGTCAGGATGCTTCTCTTCCACATGCATCTTGCCTTTTCTCATCAGGAAAAAAGTACAGCAAATATTCGAATTTCACGGCACGGCATTGTCTTACTATTCCGAAGCATCGGCCAATGCCAGCGAGCCTGAATCCTATCCAACACCTTCTTCTGAATGTCCGCATGTTTGATCCCACGGAAAGTGGATGGATTATTTGGTAATGCTTGTGGATTGTAGTTTTCCCTGTCGCTTGCACAAAAATTCATTCCATGATCACGACCAGGTTTCTTCTTGAACTTATGTCCAAACTCAAAGCAATCGACTCAAGATGCGAATGCGAGAGAAAGTCCTCTCCGAGCCACCTTAAACTTAAACCGTTCAAATTTTGCCTGCAAAAGTATTCATTACAGTGAGTATTCATTACCGTACAGTGAATATTCATAACAGTGAATACCCTGATAACAGTGAGTATTCATAACAGTGAGTATTCATATCAGTGAGCTTTGAGGGGGATTCAAATATCCTCTGTGAGGAGATAAGAAGGGGGCATGCGATTGTTTTACGGTTGCAGACTTGTACTGCGGCCAAAGTCACCGTCGGCAGATATCACATCGGACCTTAGTTGCCAGTAACTTACAAGGACAGTTTTTGCTCAAGACCGTCGGACCGAGTTTAATGTGACACCAAACTTGCCCAGAATTGAGGAGCACATGAGAGATAGACTGTATGCTAGGATGGGAAATCTGGCAAGCATCCAGACATGTCGGAGAGGCCGCCTTGAAACACGGTACTACTACTAAAGCCGGGCTCGTCCAGTGGTTTACAGAAGAGTTGTTGTTCATCCCACTCGGCATACGATCCATCACACTGGCTTTGATGCTGTACGCTAACCGTACGCTCGTCCCCTGCCAGGCTGCCCGGCGCCGCGGCAGTGACTGAGTGCCGCTGCCGCACCCGGTGACCGTCACCGTGCCGCAGTGCCAGTGCCTGTGACGGTGAGAGTCCGAGCGGCAACTTGGCTTGAAGCAACAAGGACCCGGGCGTGACGGCCCGGTGATTAATACGGCACACGTGACAGCAGGCTCGGGACGTTAACGGGCCGGCGCCCTGACCGGGCGGGGCGAATAAACGGGCCGGCCGGATCGGATGCCGCATCATGGCAGACTCGGGTACCCGGCCCGGCTTCAACCGTTCCGCCGGCCCGGCCGCCCTGGCAACTTGGCAAGCCTGAGGTTTTCTGACTACCATGTTCCGAGTCAGAGTCAAAGGTTGACTTGAAGAAGAAGTGGAAATTTCATATTATGCATCTGAAGTTTAAATTTCCTGAAGGTTTTCTGAAAGCCCAATGGAATCTTGAAATTTCAAATCGGCCGTTACAGGATTTGAAAATTCAAATCGACGGACCCGCTGGGACTCGCTGCATGCAGGTACGAGCGACGGGCATGGCGAGGATGAACCACAAAGCGCTCGCCATCATACCTGCTGCTGCTGCTGCTGCTGCTGCTGCTGCTGCTGCTGCTGCTGCTTGATCATACTAGCTCCTCCTACATCGTTCCCAACTTCTCCTGATCAGCGAAGTTCAAGATTGTCTCCCTGCCAGCACGTGAATCAACTGACTGAATTTATGCTGCTGCTGCTGGTGGTGGTGGTGGTGATGCTGCTGCTGCTGCTGCTCTTGGCTCCTGCTCCTGCTCCTACTCCTGCTCCTGCTCCTACTCCTGCTCTTGCTCCTCCTCCTCCTCTTGCTCTTGGCTCCTGCTCCTTGTTTTCATTCTTCCTGATCCTCTTCTTCGTGCTCATGCTCTTGCTCTGGCACCTCCTCTAGTCGTGATGTCTCCTCCTCCTGATTCTGCTCCTTGTTATCAAAACTCCTTCTTGCTTTGCTTGTTCTCCTCCTCCTTCTACATGTGACTTGATCCTGGGTCTCCATATTCTACTGCCCTTGTACCCCTACCTATTTCTGTTGCCTTCTGTCCATACCTCCTTATTCACCTTGACCTCTTTATTAACCTTGTCAGTTTCATCTTCGTTCCTGTCCTCTTTTATTGTTCTTGTTTCCTTCCAGTTTAGACTTGTCTCCTGTCTCTCTGCGGCTTCTTGGAGAATCTGTTGTCGCATATCTACGAAAAGAACTGCAGGATTGTTTTTAGAACTAAAGTCAAATACCAGGTTTAGAGTTTTAGATATCCGTCCCAGATCCGAGCTACCATGGCCTTGAACTCGAATCAGACGTTTGGTGGGCTTTCGTTGGTAAAGAAGGACGGGTCAAAGTCACAAGTCTTTCCTCTTGTAGAACAAAGATACATTTTTGGAAGGTAACGAGAAACACAACTGACTGCCTTTTGTGTGAGTTTCGACTGATTGTGATCAGGGCCGACCATTGTGATATTCGCATCAATCTTCTTACCGTATCAAGGGAGCATGCCGAAATATCTGTCGACAGTGATTTGCAGGTTGAAATAAACTTTTGATATCACAAATGTCTTACAAGACTTCTGTGATATTCTCTCCACTGACGCATCTCCTGACGACGAACAGGTATGGCTCAAGGCCATGAGCACGACTTCAGAGACTGTTGTCTCCGGAAAGACCATCAAATCCAAGGTCATGTTGAAGGACAAGGACGTGATTCTGATCGGAGAACGAAAGTTTATCTTCCATTCTCGGGACTCGTCAGACAAAGTAGTTAAAGAATCGATCATGTGTGCTTCCATATGATTCACGTGCGCAGGAGCAAGTTTCAGAGGTTGAAATCAAGCCCAAGAGAGATAAAACTCCACTGAAGGAGTGCAACCTTGTGAAGGTTCTCATAATTTTTTCATCCTTTCTTCTTGACACTGAAATTCATCGCAGCCTCGGCCTCAGCGATTCTATGCGACGCCTACCAAGGATTTCTCTAAGATGTCAGACTCCTCTCAGGACAACAGAGTGCACTGTGCTAGAGGAGAAAATTCAGCCAAGGTAAAATCTTAGGATACTTCCAGAAAGGCCTTGTTGAATTTCTGCCACTAGGTCAACCTTCCAGCTGAATTCGTCGAAGACAAGGAAAATACCGATTCTATTCAACAGTCGTTTAGCGATGACAATGTGTCGCTGAATACTTCGGCATCCAAATCACCTCTAGCCATTGTGAGCTCCGTATATCTAGTTTCTCAGGCTTGACCCTGGCACAGGACGCTGTAAGCTTCGAGGCGGATCAACAGAGTATGGCCTCACCGCTCGAAGTCACGTCGAGCCAGCATTCCTTTCCTGTGCCGCAGGTTCTTGTATTTGGAAACACACAGAAGTTGGATACAGGGCTTCTACTAAACGCAAAGGACAATGGAAAAACAATTTCAGCCCCAATCATGACCCCAAAGAAGGGAGTCCTGAAAACTCCGGGGTCTGTTAGCAAACGAAGAAGTGTCTGTTTTATAGACGGAAGAAACGAGACAGCCTACCTTGCGTCAGCTTCAGATGACCTGGACTTTGTTCCTGGAATCATAAGAGTGTCATCGAAGGTCCGGCCGGAAGAGGTTGCTAATCGGAAACCTGCAACTATGATGGGAGAGGTGAACCGTAAGCGATCAGCTGTTTCAACTGAGACCTCTCCAAATCCAAGAGTGACGAAGAAAAGGAAGGTCGAGTCGACTGACCATGATCGAATCAAGTTGATCTCGAGCCCCAATCGCGGAGTACATTACATCCAGATGTGCAATGATGGCCCGGCAATGCTCGAGATCAAAGATTTCTTTGAAACAGCGTCTGGAAAGATGTATTCTGATCTGATTGGCGTTGCGATTCAGGGATCAAAGGAAAACAGTGAAATACAATCCAGCAAGGAAAATCTGCCTTCAGAACAAAGCAGATGGATGATTGACTTTGCAAAAACCTTCATTGGCAAACAAGCTCTGAATGACGAACAGCGTGATAGCATTTGCGATCACTTTGATGAGGCGTCTAAATTCCTTTTCAAGAAGAACATCCATCAGACCGATGCCAAAGAAAAAGATATCCTTAAAATTTGCTTCGAGAATGCAAAGCCATCAATCCCTGCCAAAACAGCAAAAAACAAAAGGAATCGTTCGACAACATTGAAAAAATGTATTACAAAAAAAAGGAAACCCATCCCTGCTGGGCCATCCCAGCCAAACAAGGAAGAAAACTCGGAAGGCCAACGAAACTCCAACAATACTCTCCGTACTAACACGACCTTTTCCGCAAACAAGCATGTCAAAGAACAAGAGGACAAACCAAACTCAAACAAAACTTTCTTTGACAACAATCAGCATAGAAAAAACAAGGAGGACGAGGCGAGCTGGGCAGAGGAGCAGTACCGGTCCATCGCGCCCCAGACGGCAGAGAAGGCCAGGAGGAGCCGCCGGTCGTCGGCGGGGGCGGGCGAGCAGGAGGCGTCCAAGGAGGAGGAGGCGAGCTGGGCAGAGGAGCAGAGCCAGTCCATCGCGCCCCAGACGGCAGAGAAGGCCAGGAGGAGCCGCCGGTCGTCGGCGGGGGCGGGCGAGCAGGAGGCGTCCAAGGAGGAGGAGGCGAGCTGGGCAGAGGAGCAGTACCGGTCCATCGCGCCCCAGACGGCAGAGAAGGCCAGGAGGAGCCGCCGGTCGTCGGCGGGGGCGGGCGAGCAGGAGGCGTCCAAGGAGGAGGAGGCGAGCTGGGCAGAGGAGCAGTACCGGTCCATCGCGCCCCAGACGGCAGAGAAGGCCAGGAGGAGCCGCCGGTCGTCGGCGGGGGCGGGCGAGCAGGAGGCGTCCAAGGAGGAGGAGGCGAGCTGGGCAGAGGAGCCGTACCGGTCCATCGCGCCCCAGACGGCAGAGAAGGCCAGGAGGAGCCGCCGGTCGTCGGCGGGGGCGGGCGAGCAGGAGGCGTCCAAGGAGGAGGAGGCGAGCTGGGCAGAGGAGCAGTACCGGTCCATCGCGCCCCAGACGGCAGAGAAGGCCAGGAGGAGCCGCCGGTCGTCGGCGGGGGCGGGCGAGCAGGAGGCGTCCAAGGAGGAGGAGGCGAGCTGGGCAGAGGAGCAGAACCGGTCCATCGCGCCCCAGACGGCAGAGAAGGCCAGGAGGAGCCGCCGGTCGTCGGCGGGGGCGGGCGAGCAGGAGGCGTCCAAGGAGGAGGAGGCGAGCTGGGCAGAGGAGCCGAACCGGTCCATCGCGCCCCAGACGGCAGAGAAGGCCAGGAGGAGCCGCCGGTCGTCGGCGGGGGCGGGCGAGCAGGAGGCGTCCAAGGAGGAGGAGGCGAGCTGGGCAGAGGAGCAGTACCGGTCCATCGCGCCCCAGACGGCAGAGAAGGCCAGGAGGAGCCGCCGGTCGTCGGCGGGGGCGGGCGAGCAGGAGGCGTCCAAGGAGGAGGAGGCGAGCTGGGCAGAGGAGCCGAACCAGTCCATCGCGCCCCAGACGGCAGAGAAGGCCAGGAGGAGCCGCCGGTCTTCTGTCAAATGTCCTGTGGTCGTTGAAGTCTCTTCATCAAGCTCATGTGAAGATCAAGCTTTTGTTTGTGCATCGAAGGGCACGAAGCGTGGTGCTCGCTTGTTAGTTCTTGAGTCTCAATCTTCGGTTATGAGCTCTCGGCATCGTCGATCAACTCGGCAATCAGTTCTGCTTTCCTGCTCCTCTCCTCATGTTTCTATTGGACCTGCCTCAGAGTTTCTCATCACACCTCGCAAGGAGTTTGACTGGAGATCGGTGGGTCTTGCTTCTGTTGTTCCTCCTTACCTGGTTTTCCTCTTTTCCTGGGATCAGGCAATCCTCTTGTCCTCTGCTGTTTCACTCATTCCTTCACTCCTTCCTTCGCTTGCTTCTTCCTACACACAAGACTGCCATCCCTTATGCGACATAATCTTCATCTACCTCCCTACATATTTTCATTCTGTTTCTTATCTTTTTCACTAGGGCTTAGAAGACAAGCCGGCTGAAGCGAAGCGTGGAACCAGATCAAAACGCAAATTGAGTGCTGTTGAAGATGCTCCTGTCGAAGAAGAGGTGAAGGAGGTGTCTGCCAAACCCAAGACAGGCGGGAGAAAGAAAATGGCAACGGTTGAAACCCAAGATATCCAGGAGAACCCCAGCAAGAAGACCAAGAGAACCTCTGCTGTTGTCCCTCAAGGCGTGGAGGCAGTTCCCAGCTCAACGAAAGCCAGTCGGTCAAAGAAGGCCAAGGACGTGCCCTCGGAGGACAAGGAGCAAGCAGCTCAGCCAAAGGCATCGAGGGCATCCAGGGAGCCCCGTCAGAGCAAACGGGTCAAGGAGGAATGTGCTGAGCCTATCGAGGACAAGAAGGAACAGCCTCGTGAGGTGAGAAGCAAGAAGGCAGGGAGGGAAGCCAGCGACAAGGACAAGGTTGAGGCTCCTGCTGCCCGAGTTGGTCGTCGCAAGAAGGATGTGGAAGCGAAGGAAGAGGAGGTTGCGGAGGAGAAGGAGGAGCCAAAGCGAACGTCCTCCCGCAGAACATCCGCTAAGCAGAAAAAGAATGACCAGAGCAGCTCGTCTGCCAGGGCCCAGGACGCTCCCAGCTCTGAGCCTCCTGCGACGAAGTCCAGACGGAAGACGGCTGCTGGGTCAGGAGGAGAACCTGAGGCGCCGGTCAGCAGGAGGACGAGGTGAGAAAAGAGGAAGGAGCAAACGAGAGGGACTGACTGATTGACTGACAGGTCGCGGGCCATCTAATGAATTTCACTCACTTTCACTAACTGAACTAACTTAGTCACCCTGATTGACATCAACTAATACATCACTACAAGATTAAGCTCTGACTTCCCAACCCCCTTCCCTCAGTATTGCCTGATTCAAGGCTAACGCGACTGAACGGCATGGCATCGACTCTGTCTGAAGGCCTCCCGTCAGCTCCTTCCATCCTCTCGTTGACCAGCACAAGATCAAAACAGATCAGTGGTGTCAGACAAGGTTGCGAGCCGTCTTGAAGTTCGATGTCACTTCCTTACCATGTGAGAGAGAGAGGAATGCGATACTACATGTGTGAGAGGAATGCGATACTACATGTGTGAGAGAGAGGAATGCGATACTACATGTGTGAGAGAGAGGAATGCGATACTACATGTGTGTGAGAGAGAGGAATGCGATACTACATGTGTGTGAGAGAGAGGAATGCGATACTACATGTGTGTGAGAGAGGAATGCGATACTACATGTGTGTGAGAGAGAGGAATGCGATACTACATGTGTGTGAGAGAGGAATGCGATACTACATGTGTGAGAGAGAGGAATGCGATACTACATGTGTGAGAGAGAGGAATGCGATACTACATGTGAGAGAGAGAGGAATGCGATACTACATGTGTGAGAGAGAGGAATGCGATACTACATGTGAGAGAGAGAGGAATGCGATACTACATGTGTGAGAGAGAGGAATGCGATACTACATGTGTGTGAGAGAGAGGAATGCGATACTACATGTGTGTGAGAGAGAGGAATGCGATACTACATGTGTGAGAGAGAGGAATGCGATACTACATGTGTGAGAGAGAGGAATGCGATACTACATGTGAGAGAGAGAGGAATGCGATACTACATGTGTGAGAGAGAGGAATGCGATACTACATGTGTGAGAGAGGAATGCGATACTACATGTGAGAGAGAGAGGAATGCGATACTACATGTGTGAGAGAGAGGAATGCGATACTACATGTGTGTGAGAGAGGAATGCGATACTACATGTGAGAGAGAGAGGAATGCGATACTACATGTGTGAGAGAGAGGAATGGGCTTTCTAGTACCATGGTGACTGAGAGAGGTTTTCTAGTAGCTGTGGAACACAGCTATATACTTTCAAATAGATGTTATGCTCGTTCACGAGTTGAACGAATTCTTGAAAGATGTTCGACGCACGCTTGTATCCAAATGGCAGATTGCAATTTTGAAACTTTTGACCGAAAGGGGTCACAATTGTAAGATATTCACAATTGCAAGATATTCACGATTGTAAGATATTCACAATTGCAAGATATTCACAATTGCAAAATATTCACAATTGCAAGATATTCACAATTGCAAGATATTCACAATTGTAAGATATTCACAATTGTAAGATATTCACGATTGCAAGATATTCACGATTGCAAGATATTCACAATTGCAAAATATTCACAGTTGCAAAATATTCACAGTTGCAAGATATTCACAATTGCAAAATATTCACGATTGCAAGATATTCACAATTGCAAGATATTCACAATTGCAAGATATTCACAATTGCAAGATATTCACGATTGCAAGATATTCACAGTTGCAAGATATTCACAATTGCAAGATATTCACAATTGTAAGATATTCACAATTGCAAGATATTCACAATTGCAAAATATTCACAATTGCAAGATATTCACAATTGTAAGATATTCACAATTGCAAGATATTCACAATTGCAAGATATTCACGATTGCAAGATATTCACGATTGCAAGATATTCACAGTTGTAAGATATTCACAATTGTAAGATATTCACGATTGTAAGATATTCACGATTGTAAGATATTCACAGTTGTAAGATATTCACAATTGTAAGATATTCGCGATGCTCAGCTTTCACGGGAATCTGCAAGAAACCTTTGAGGAAATCAAATGCAGACAGCAAAAGGTGTTTGCCAGACTTGCGACTCAATTTCGCTTGCCGAATGATGTCAGTGACATGTTCCAACATCTCGTCCGTGGTCGGCAGTGCATAGTCGATAAATGGTACGGTCTGCGACTGGACGAGGGTCATTCTTGCGACGAGAGGAAAGATTTGGAAATTCAAAGGGACTTGTACAAGGCTCGATGATGTTGCGAGACAAGAGGAACTCGAGCTTGTCGCGAAGCTCCTGCTCAAGGAATCTGAAGATGGCACGCGGTAGGGACGAAGGCAAACCGGAGTTGTACCTTGAGGGATGGGAATTTCTGCTTCAAATTCACGATGAATGCTGTAATCCTCGGGGAGGTCATCGACGAGAACATCTGCGAACTCAGGTTTAAGCTGCTGGATTACACTGTCGAGCTGACTGAGCTGGCGTGCCCGGAGGCATCAGAATGAGCTTCGAGTGCACTGGAAATGACGTTGACAAGATGACGTTGGCTGGATCCAACAAAGATTCCATTCATCTTCAGGATTGCTTGCCTGATCTGCATATACGTCTGTTAAAGACATGATATGAACGATGCGAACTTCAGCCGCTTGCGCTGCATTGGGGAGCTGATAAGACTTGGGCAAACAAATAAGTTGCGAGTATCGAACATACAGATGCATCTCGAATTGAATCAAATCAAATCAGTAATGAGATCCTGCAGGCAACGTAGAGATGGTCGAACATACCAAAGAAAGAAAGAAAGAAAGACAGACAGACAGACAGACAGACAGACAGACAGACAGACAGACAGACAGACAGACAGACAGACAGACAGACAGACAGACAGACAGACAGACAGACAGACAGACAGACAGACAGACAGACAGACAGACAGACAGACAGACAGACAGACAGACAGACAGACAGACAGACAGACAGACAGACAGACAGACAGACAGACAGACAGACAGACAGACAGACAGACAGACAGACAGACAGACAGACAGACAGACAGACAGACAGACAGACAGACAGACAGACAGACAGACCTCAACGGAAAAGGGGGGCCTCCAGACGACTACTTCGCCCGCGTCGTCGACTCTGCTCGAGCCCTATTCCTGATTGGCGGTAGTGCCTGACGCACCTGGCGTCAGAGCAGCTGCAACAAGCTCTGCTGTGCGAGTAGCTTGTGTTTCCATGGAGGTACGGAGTTCATCGAGGACATTTTGTCCTTCCCCTGCTTCCTCCGCTATGTCCAATTGCTGTCTGGTTGAGTTCATCTTGATGAATCAATGTCTCCTCGGCATTCATACGTTCTTTGCCGACTTTGAGTGCGACCGCCACGATTCCCTGCAGGCGGAAATCTTTGCTATTGAAACTGAACCTTTGAGGATTGAAACTGAACCTTTGAGGATTGAAACTGAACCTTTGAGGATTGAAACTGAACCTTTGAGGATTGAAACTGAACCTTTGAGGATTGAAACTGAACCTTTGAGGATTGAAACTGAACCTTTGAGGATTGAAACTGAACCTTTGAGGATTGAAACTGAACCTTTGAGGATTGAAACTGAACCTTTGAGGATTGAAACTGAACCTTTGAGGATTGAAACTGAACCTGAAGCTTGCTACCAGATGTTGTACACAACCTTCGAGAATGAGATCACTGCTGCATTCACTACAACACAACGAGCACGACAGACTACTAGCACAGAGCCGACAGCTGTCGGCTAGGACATGAAACCATCACAAATCTGTTTGACAAGTACGAGATCGGCAAGCTGTATCCAGCGCCAGGTGCTGTCAATCCTGTATGTGTCACCCTCAGACCTCACCTTGACTGGACTACCGATGCTTACCTCCGCGTCCACAGTTGACTTCTACGATGAATATGGAATCAGTCCTCTATCGACCACGTCACTACATGGTTACTTCACCACAATCTCTGGTAACAACATCCTGAACTCTGCCTACAACAAGGGGAGCTGTTAGCTCCAGTGACGCCCCCAGGGGTACAGATCTACACCAAGCAAGATACGGAAAAGCGAATCTATGGGTACAAGTTAATGCTATCAAGCTGTGCTGGCTACATCGTTGATCCTTGGTTCCCACTTGCCACGATAAGATCTAGCTCCAACCTCACTCCAAACACCGTGAGGATGACTGTGGAACTGCAACCAAACTATGCTCTGACATCGAGCCAGGCGGTGACAGTCTCGTGGCTCATTGGGTTCTTCGCCTCTCTTGATACATGTACCTGCAGGATCAGCAGAAATGGAGAGTATGTGATTGTTGTTTCAAACACAATCAGGGGAAACATCCATGGAAGCGACTTTTTTGCTTCAACATAAACCTTCAAGAAGAATGAGTTCAAGATGACCTATCTGCAGTATGGAGTTGGTCAGGGCGCTTCTGCAACAGCGACAATCTCGAGCAGAGTGGTTACTGCCATCACCATAACCGATCCTGGACATGCATAGTATATCACTCCTGGGGATCGTCACCCCTGCAGCAGCCGAGACTGGAACCGTGACTACATCTGAGGCTCAGGCTTATCTCTATGACAGGAGCATCTACACTGTTCAATTTCAGATTCAGAATCCAAGCGCAGAGCAGTCCGCACTCGAGTTACAGCATCTACATCTGCACCAGCCTACAGGATTGAGATCACATGTCGAGTGTAATCAACCAGGGAAGTGGACGCATGGAGCTGTAGCTGTTCCTATCCCATCAGTGTTCTTGTCCTCCACCCCTCTCGGTGTCGTCATCACACAAACCTTGAACGATCATTGATTACAACCCGTGATTGTTGCCAAGAGCGCGAGGGTGGAGCCGGGTCAGTCATTGACTATCACCATTCCTGGATACGATACAGGTTCAAGTCTTGCCCCAAGGATGTGAACGCATACATCACTCCATCTACCGAGGACGTGGCCAAGACTATTGCGAAGAGAACGAGGTACTACTACGCTACCTCGCTGCCAGTGAAGAGCTCGTATGTGAAGGGAGACGGAGTGAGGGGAATGGTGATCACTGGCAGCACATTGACTGGTGACTGCAGCATCAAGTACGTGGAGGCTCCCCAGAGCATGGGAGGAAACAAGCCGGAGGTTCGATTTATCTCCGATACGATACACAGCTCTACCGCAGTTCATCGGTCAGTGTGTGACGAGCGCAGGGTCGAGGAGCTACTTCAACGGAGTTTCTATTGTCGAGAAGCACAGGATTCTGGGAAGGAATGATAAAGAGAGAAAGATTCTGACTCGAACATTTGCAATCACATATTTTCTGAGGGATAGACTCTGGGCCATTCAGAATTCTGATAGGGTCATACAAGTCGGCTGACATCCTTCTTGTCGATACTCTCAGTGTAAGTCTACGACAACGCCAACCTTGACTTGGGGCTCGATCGCCGTCAAGATCTTCACACCGTTTGAGAAATTGTTGACAAAGTGCGCCAATGTCAAAGAATGAAACTTGGTTTTCGGAGCCAACTTCAGGGAATCAGAAACCTCTGTCTCGTCCAGCTGCAGTCACTCAAATTTCTTCCTGTAGATCGTTGAATGGCCAACCTCATTCGACAGCATTAAAAGTAAATTGTTTCGAGCTCTTGCAGGAATACATCAGATAAGGCCAGAAAACTGAACAGCAAACAATGTCATCGTTGTTAATCAAGATTCCGTTCAGTCCGTGGAAAATTTGGATTTCCTTCCACTATCACACTGGTAGAAGGATATTTTGATCTCATCGCATTGATCCTTGAGGAGATGGAGCGATTTTTGTCATCATTGTTCGCAACAATGATAGTGAGGCTCTGACAGCAGCATGCAGGGGATATGGCCTCCCTGACAAGTTCATGCTGGGTCCCTCGAAGGCCAGGGGTGAAGATCTTGAATCGCTCAGTCGTATTTAGATGCTAATTGGTAATTTGCAGTCTCCTTTCAAAACGTTTTGTGGCTTTTGATTATCTGGGCGGTAACTGCTGTTTTTGTGAAAATGCAGTACTTGATTATAGGTACAATTCTTAATACGGAACCAATGCAGCAGATCATTGTAATTTTGAGCAGAAAAGCTTTCCAAGGGCAAGAGAAAAGTTTCTGTCCCTCCTGCACTCGAGTGCCAGCGATCAATTTCCATACAAGTTTCTTGCATCTAAGGACTTCGGCGTCGAATTTTTATGAAACAAAGATTGTATTTGAAGAGATGTGTTTTGCCTGTAGTTCAGAATAATCCTGTAGCATGGAAACAACTTCTTAACGAACTGGAATTCATCGGCTGTTCTTGTTCGAATTTCTTTGAAGCCACGGATATAAGTTTTTGACCTCTCAAGCTTCTTGAAAGGACGTATGCCTGAAAACCACTTTTGCATGTGACAAATTCCTTCATCTTCCTGTATGACTCCATGACCCCCTGCACCCTTCCTGGGCCTCCCTTTGCTCAATCGTTTTTTGTTGCTGGTACAACTGCAAGGCCGAGGACAACATCCCACCAAAGTCAGGAAGCAAATTGATCATCTCCAATAGTGTAGTAGACCCACTGCGGCCAGTTCCAAAAATGAAAAGCCACTTTCGCTTGCATGGATCACAAGATAATGCTGAATACGTCGATGAGGTTGTGTTAGCGCAATAAGAATGTGGGCACCACATCCTCTCTAGTATTTGTCTGCCGGTGCTCTCGCAGGGAGACTTATCCTTCCCGTAATGACAAGAACTGAAGCCATCGCAACAAAAACCAGGCAAGCGGAAGCATTCCATGAGCACGCCATTCCCACCTGTGAGCGATTTGAAGGGTCACCAACCCCACCATTATCCATGAAGTCGGTGTATGAATGACCCCTTCTTTTGGAATATCTCCGGTATTACATCTCAGAGGAGCTTTCGACCAGATAAAGCTTTACGACCAGACCTAGTTCCTGACATCTCTTATTTCAACATCTCTTATTTGTTTCTTATTTTTATTTCAACCAGTTTCGAATCATGATTTGACTACGATCGAGCATTCAAGTTTACTCTGCACTTTCACACGATCAAGATCATCCAGATCAAGATCATGAATACATTTTGCTCTGGAAAGGCGATGTGCATTTTCATTTTCAAATCTTTAGTCATCATCAAGAAAGCTAATCACAACTTTGCTTAACGCATCACTGGAATGGTTTGCAAGGCACATCGATCTGGGTCCTCTGCGACTCTCGAGTCAATCTGAACCTGTATGTTCGCCACAGTCAACTTCCATCAACTAGGGTGCTGAGATCCGTGGCTGCACTGACAAGCTGCAGATAATCTGTTACCCCTCGCAGAGCTCTGATAATCTCTTACATACCAGGTCAGATTCAACGCCCACGTGTATTTACCGTCTCGTCCCGAGTCCTCCTCCAGCATCTAGTCCCGAGTCCTCCCAACGGATAATCCATATGATGATAATCCATATGATGATAATCCATATGATGATAATCCACATGATGATAATCCATATGATGATAATCCACATGATGATAATCCATATGATGATAATCCATATGATGATAATCCACATGATGATAATCCATATGATGATAATCCATATGATGATAATCCACATGATGATAATCCATATGATGATAATCCATATGATGATAATCCATATGATGATAATCCATATGATGATAATCCATATGATGATAATCCACATGATGATAATCCATATGATGATAATCCATATGATGATAATCCACATGATGATAATCCACATGATGATAATCCATATGATGATAATCCATATGATGATAATCCATATGATGATAATCCATATGATGATAATCCATATGATGATAATCCATATGATGATAATCCACATGATGATAATCCATATGATGATAATCCATATGATGATAATCCATATGATGATAATCCATATGATGATAATCCACATGATGATAATCCATATGATGATAATCCATATGATGATAATCCATATGATGATTCTTCCTCTGCCGTAGCGTTCACTGAGGGAGCAAGGTTATCACGATATGAGGACATCAGTGTAGGTGCACTGGTTCATAATGCTACTACTGACAATCGTACAAGACGTCTTTGACAGCAGGGGGCGAACTTAAATCTACCATACGTAACTGGGTTACATAGGCTCCTTTCCTTCACTCCCATGCCTTTCCTCGCCGCTGTACCTGCAGCCATACCCTCCTGCTGGTCTATCGGGAGGGTGTCAATGAAGGCGGATGCTCTGCGAGGTACGAGGGGATGTCAACAGCAGCGGAGGAGCGCGACGGAGCTGACGATGTCAAAGTTGAGCATCAACGATAGGGATGGACTTGAGAGTTTTGAGACCCGAAGGTTAGACTCTCGATATCTCAAGAACAGTTTGAAGCTTGAAGGCATGATTACAACTCTGAAGGCTCTGACCGCTGCTTGCAACTTACTGCACGCTCACTGCCACAACTCATGCCTTGTCAGCCGCCCCAGTCATGTAGTCTAACATTTCCAGTTGGAGTGTATCTTGTGAACATATACACCAACTGCACCAACAAGTGAGTTGGGAGTATGTCTATCTTGTTAATCATACATCAATCTCACGCATGTTGTCAATGAATGCTCACAGGATAAGATGTGTTGATGTCCCGGAAACCTTGTCCAGAACAGCCGGTGCCAGTCAGCATCATTGATATTATCTTTGTCGTCACAAGGTTTCATCTCAGCTCTTTCTCATACTTCTTTCTGTTGTTCAATCCTATTCATCTCCTTTACTGCTTCCAGCCACTAGTGGTCGCGATAACTACCGGACAGAGCTGCTTGTCATGCTCTACTCGTCGTAGCTCGTCATTGTCATTGTGCATGATAGCATTCGGGTCAAAACCTTCACAGAATTCTCTTCATTCTCACAGCAACGTCGCGCACTCCCACGTCAACTCGAGCTCAACTTTTCCAGAGTCAAGAACATCTCATCCATACTCAGCCGCTGCTCTGCCTCCTGCTTCCAACCTAGCACAGCATCAGTTGTCCTCCCCACCTCCAGCAGCAGCAGCAGCAGTAGAACCTGCGGCAATCAGCTTCTCGAGCTCCTGCCCCAGCTGCTCTCCTGTCCCTTCACCTTCAGTCCCTCGTCTACTTCGCGGTCTTCAGACCTTCACCGGCAGCCATCGCCTCCTCCTCGACCGCCCTTCGTACAGCCTCGAGGCTCGGCCTCTCACCAGCCCAGCCCACCATGCCCGGGATCGCCTGCTCTGGTCTGCCACCTGCTCAGCCGCTGCAAGGGCGCGGCAGTCTGACTAACCTGCCATGGAAGGGGCTCTCGAGCAAGACCATCTCCCACGTCTGTCCCAGCAGCAGCAGCAGCGCGTCAGTGGAGGAGCACCTAACAGCACCCGCTTCCCTACCGTCATCGCCATGGCGTACACGTCGCACTTCTCGTCAAAGTCCTTCGACTCAGTCAGCAGCTCGTCAACCCTCCGCTGCCCGGCGTGCCCACCTGACCCCGGTGAACCTCCGGCGCCACGTAGTGAAGAGTCCCAGCCTGAAGGAGAGAGTGGGGAGGAGAAGAGAGGCGGAGTGGAGGAGGTAGAGGAGAAAAGTCAGCGGACGCAGTCGCGCTGGGAAAGGAGAAGAGGGAAAGGACAAAGGAAGAGTGTTAGGAGGCTGCTGGAAGAGGCAGCAGAAGGAGTGTGGGAACGGGGGGACGGGGAGGAGAGAGGATTGAGGGGGGGGGAGGACAGTGGAAGAGGCAGGAGAGAGGGAGGGGCAGGAGGGCTTTGAGGGCGCTTGACCGTGTGCGTTGTGTTCATACGGGTCCTCCACTTGTCTCGTGCTAGACCGAAGTCACAAACCTTGACCGACCAGCCGTCAGCATGTCGGGCGAGCGACGGAGAGGAAGAGAGCACAGCTGGGAACCCTCAACGTCCCTCCTCTCCCAGCTCACCTTGACTCTCTTCCTGTCTCTAGAGAGAAGGAAGTTTTCCGGCTTGACGTCTCGGTGGACTATAGCTGGGCTCTGAGGACCAATGAGGTGGGTGGAGGAAAGGGGGACAGACCTGGTGGTGGAGGAAGAGTAGCCCACAGGCTGCCTGCGCGCAGATCGCCAGCCGTTCCTTGAGCGGGCTGAGCACACAGTGACGATGAGAGCAGCGACATTGCAGAGGGCAGGTGAAAGAACGAGCAGAAACGCTAGAATGAGACAGGAGGAGGCGGGAGAGAGCAGCCAGTCAGGAGAGGAGAAGAGGAGGGGAGAGACGGGAAACGGAGGGAGGGGGGGGGAGAGAGGGGAGGGGAAAATCTTTGACCTCTCTGCGCCAACTTGCCGCATGAAAGTTCTGTCACGTGTTACTTCCGAGGGACAGGTAAAGGTCAAAGTTGACCTGAGGTCCCAGTGGAGCAGCTCGGTAACAACTGACATGCTGCTGTCCTGCTGGAAAGACCCGAAGAACTCTGACACCGGAGTCATCCTCCCCCTCCTCCTCCTCCTCCCCACATTCCCCATTCACCACAACCACCTCCTCCTACCAATCCCCCGTCCTCTCCTCCTCATCCCCTGGTCCTCCTCCTCCTCCCGTCCTCCTCGTTGTTCAACAGACTTACGGACTACGTTGGGATGCCTCAGCTTGCACAACTTCTCGACCTCCAGGACCGTCATGCTCTTCCCCTCACTCACTCCCTCTTCTCACCTCTCGCATGAAAGAGCCAAGAAACTCCTCTCGGGCATCTCCAGGTGCACTCCATTCAGCTGGGAGAGGAACGCGGCAGCAAGACCTGAAGAAGACGCAGACTTGTCGATCTCCTTGACTGCCACTGGCGAGCCAAACCACGTCGCCTGTACGGGCTGAGCAGGTGGTCCAGCAGAACCTCTGAGCTCCATTTTCTCACCTCCCAGACGGTTCCCATCGACCCCCTCGCTATGCACTGCTCGATCACTTCAGCCACGAGACAGTTCACAGAAAGTCGTTCCTCCTCCTCCTCTCCCCTTTCCCTCTTCCATCCTCCACTCACTTTCTACTCATGCTCCCTCTTGCTTTTCCTGCTCCTCTGCCTCCTTCACTCAATCTCGCTCCCTCTCAGCCCATAGCCATTCATGGCTGCCTCAACCGCCACCCCCTCCTCCTCCCTCTCACCTCCCCTTTCCACCTCTACTCACCCGCTGCTTCTTGATACTCTTTATGTCTACCTCCCACAGCGAGAGGAGATCTAGCTTGGCTGACTTCCCCTCGTACTGCCCTTCCATCAGCCCAGCGCCGCCATCCGTCGAAGGATCAGGAGTGCTTGAACCCACAGCAGGCTCTTGTTGCTCCTGCTCCTGCTCCTGCACCCCCCTGTCCTTCTTCGCATCTCCCAGTGAATCTTCCCCCATGTCTGCTCCTCTTGCCCTCGCGTTCCCAGTCTGTGTAGCGAGAGCAGTGAAAAGCATGGGGAGAACATACATGAGAAGGAAGAGGAGGAGATGGATGAGGGGAGGAGTGGCCCCCCAGGGGGAGCTGGGGGAAGGAAGGGGGAGGAGCGTGAGGGAGGAGGAGGAGGAGGAGGAGGAGGAGGAGGAGGAGGAGGAGAAGGAGAAGGATGGGGATGAAACCTGCTGCAGCTCGTTCTTTAGCCTTGCGTTCTCGTGCTAGGACCAATCTTCACAGGCAGGAGGAGCGAACGAGAACGTCACCTGCGCCTTGGACAGCAGCTCCTCCATCCTCTCTATCCTCTTCGATAGCACGTCAAGATCCTGTCATCCCCTCACCTTCATGCCCTGCTCGCCCCCACAACCACTCACTCGGTGTTGGTTGCTTCCTACCCCCTGGGAGATCTCGGCTCGATGCGACATGCGCGGGGAGGAGCGGGAGAAGGAAGGATTGGCAGCGAGCGACGCGATCGACGCGACCCCGTTGCTCCCTCGAGCGTTCGAAGACTGCGCATCCTCTTGTAAGCCCTCACTGCTCTTGCCCCTGCTCCATCGCCACACGTCAAGTCTGGCAGGCTGCTTGCTAGAAGATTGTACCTCGCGCTCAGTGCCTGGCCCTCGGAGCCGCTCCTCGACCTACCCGAACCTCGACGGTCAAGCGAGCAGACAGATCTCCCTCCCTCTCCCCTCCCCTCCGAAGTCCCATGCTCTTCTCTGCTTCATCTCCTTCCTCCCTCTCCTCGTCTCCTTCTTGTCCTACTCGTCAGCTCTCTCCTTTCCGTCTCATCATAATTCCTTTCCCCCTCCTTCTAAGTTCCCTTCCTCCCTTTTCTCCCCCTCCCCTCCTCTTCTTTCCCTCATTCCCTTCCTCCGTCTCCTCCTTCCTCCCCCTCTTGCCAAGCCCTTTCCCTCCTCCACCTGGTACTCAGTGCTCCATCGGTCGATGCCCGGGGCGAGGCCCCGTCCACAGACGCGTTCCTGCTCTCTCCGCTGCATTCGCGGGAGGGACAGGACGAGTTTCTCTCCCTGCTCCGAGCCGTCTGACGCACGTGGCTCCCCGCGCTTGCCTCCACATTCTCCTCGCTCGCAGCACTGGTTCGACCCTCCTGCTGCTTCCCCTTGTTCTCCTCCGTCGTCCTCCCCAGCAGGTTGCTCAGGAAGTGGTTCAGTGACAGGCGGGGAACGCTAGCAGCAGCTGAGCTCCTCTTCTCAGCTCGCAGGGGCTCGTCCGCCTCGTCCTGTAGGGCCTCGTTCTTCCCCTTGGTCGAAGTTTCCTCCGTGACGCTGTCAAGCACGAACTGCATCGCTGGGGGTCAGCTGGGGGTGAGCAGAGGAGGAGGATGGTCGAGATCATGAGGAGTGGGCTCGGTGATGAGAAGGGGAGCAGGTGAAGACCGGAGGGCGAGGCGGATGGGATGGTTGGAGAAGTATGAAGGCGTTTTGAGCTGAAGGTGGCAGAAGAAGTGGAAGTGGAAGTGGATGTAGATGTAGATGTAGATGTGGACACTATTGATAGATGAGGTTACAGAGGAGGAGTTGTGTAAGAAAGATAGAAATCACGCATGAAGGATGAGAAAGAGAACGAGAGAGACAGGGAGGAGAGTACGAATGAGAGGACGATGGCGATGACGATGGCGAAGGAGTGCTAGCCAGCAGGAGGAAGCGGAGCAAGGAGAGCATGTTCAACAAGGAGTGCATGACGACGAGCTTCTCTTCCTCTCACGGCACCATCGCCTCCCTCCCCGCCTCCCTCTCCTCCTCACCCCATCCATGTTGCGCAACCTCCGAATATCACCCTGGGACTACCCCACCCCTTCATTCGTATTAAATATGACCCCTCCTTGCCGACTTCCGTCCAAAATATGCAGGAGGAGGAGGAGGAGGAGGATCAGCAGCAGGATCAGGAGCAGCTGTAGGAGGATGATGGAGAGGGTTCGACGAGGGTTGGGATGTCATTCCTTCTGGTCCAGGCGCTTGTACAAGAAGTTGGTCAAATCAGCCTTCCCAAGGTGACTTCCTGCTTCTCGTTGCTCGTTGCTCGTTGCTCCTGCTCCTGCCCCTTACCCTGCTGCTCCTGATCCTGCTCCTGCTCCTGCTCTCGCTCCTGCTCTCGCTCCTGCTCCTGCTCCTGCTCTCGCTCCTGCTCCTGCTCCTGCTCCTGCTCCTGCTCCTGCTCCTGCTCCCTGGTCTCTGCACTCGCTCTTGCTCCTGCTCCTGCACCCTGGTCTCTGCACTCGCTCCTGCTCCTGCTCCTATTTGATTCCATGCCCAGGTCGCTGCAAGCGAGCGAACCCGATGGCAGCGCGTTGGAGGCGCTGACTGTGCATGCTCTGACGAACCCCAAGATGCTGCCCAAGATCGTGCTCTACCTGGAGAAGATCGTGAGCAAGAAGTTTGCGCGGAGGGAGCAGCAGCAGCTGCAGTGCGCCGTGAAGATCCTCCTCACCCTCATCCAGACTTGCCACCTCGAGCTCCGACGCTTCTCGGAGAACGTGGTGAGGGTGACCAAGTTCCTCCTGCGGCAGGTGGAGCTGCCAGAGCTCTATCCCCTCGGCTGCGAGGTCTTCATCAAGTTCGCGAGCTACCAGGACGGGGCCAACCTCAGCCTCGTCCTCTCCCCCTTCATCGACGACATCGTCCGCCTCAGCCATGACTCCCAGACCCGTCCTGACCTCAGGCTCAGCATCAGGGAGGCCGGGCTCAAGGCAATGGCCGTGGTAGTCCGCCTCCTCGACCTGTCGCTGGCCGAGCACTTTGCCAAGCTCATGCCGGCGATCCTGGTGAACATGAACGTGCCTTCCTCGCTCGATGGCGAGGGGATCGATAGGCGTGTGAAGGAGGCGGCGTCGCGGCTGTTCCGGCAGGTGTGTCAGTGTCTGCGGCCTGCGCTCTCTCAGTTCATCCTGAAGCCCTTCTTCTCCTACCTGGACGGCACCAACGCCTGGAGCCAGGGCAACGACGTGAACTGCTTCGCGGTCGAGAGCCTGAAGCTGCTCATGGCGAGCATGGAGCCTCAGCACAACTACCTCCTCTTCCTTGAGATGAGCCGACGGGTCGAGGGCTGCAACCGAGCCCGCGCCGACCTTGTCGTGACTCTCTGCATAGTTCGCGCCATCGCCGCCATGGCGGGGCTGGTGCAGGGAACACCCGGGCCCTCGTTCTACAAGATCTTCACGAGCATTCTGTCGCTGTTCAGCTACCAGCTGGAGATGGCCAAGAAGAACAGGGAGCTGACTGGAAACTCGAGGCCCAAGACGAGCCTGAGCCCGGTGGACAAGATGAAGCTACTGGAACAGGCGTTCAGACAGGCCGCGGAGGCAAACGCGAGCAGCGTGCGGGATGCTGGGGGTGTGCTGAGGATCCTGGATGAGTGTCAGACGTGCTTCGAGAGGATGGGAGGAGCTTTCAGCGGGTCCCCCCAGCACCTCGATGCCATGCAGCAGCTGATAGAACGTGCGGCTGCCGTGACGAGGAGAGGGGAGGAGAAGTCAGGAGAGGGGGGCGAGGAGGGGGAGGGAGCGAGGGAGGAGGAAGAGGATAGTCGAAACTTCCTGCTGGGCTACTACGTGCGGGCGTTGAAGGCTCTCGTCAACGAGGGGATCCTCCTCCCCCCTGGCAAGAACACTCCCTCCTATCTCATCGACTTTATCATCAACCTCCTGTCTGCGTCCTCCCCGTCCCTGCGCGACCTCGCGGTCGGTTGTCTCCGATTGACGGTCTGCTGTGTGCGAGAGAAGAGCTCGGGCAGCTGCAGAGACGCGGCATGGCACGAGCATCTCTCCCCCTCCGACCAGCTGAACATCGTCAAGACCTTCATGCTCGGCATGACTTCCTCCCGAGCCACCCCCCAGGACCTGGTCCGCTCCTCCTCCTTCCTGTCCTCCCTGGCGCGCAGCGGGCCGGAGCGATGGGTGGAGCTGGTCCTGCCATGGCTCATGGAGATGCAGAGGAGCATTTCGACCTCCAAGCAGCTCGAGGACGCTCAGGAGGAAGCTGAGAACTCGATGCTGCACGTGAAGCCCCTGCAGGCCATGTGGCTCCACTCAGTGATCGCGTCTTGCATCCTGTCCCTTGCCCACGCGTCCAAGAACGAGGCTCTCGCCTCCTACGTCCACCAGGTCAACCAGTGACGTGGAGGCGTCAGCCTTGACCGCTGCTCCAGGTGCTCGCCGAGAGAAGACAACCCGGGATGACCTGCAGGTGTGCCTTGCGCCTCTCTGACGTGTCGGTGCTGACGAGAGCCAAGGGAGCTGAGAATGAACGACGAGGGTGAGCTGGAGTTGGTCTCCGAGCCATCCAGCCAGCCAGAGGTCGCTTCGGAAGCCAAGGCCGAGCTCACCTTCGAGCAGCTCGAGGGGCTCGCGAGCGAGGACGCGGGCGGATCGACGAGCATGGCGCTGCTGGATGTCAACGAAGTTTGCAGTGCTCTCGGCACTGGACCACTCCTGCTCGCCAAGGACCCGAGCTCCTACCCCGCCCTGCGCCGGTCGATCCTCCTCCTCCTCGACCCCAGCTGCTGGGCCCGTTGACTCCTCGCAGACTGTCCTCGAACCCTCAGGATGTCAAACTGGTCTCGCCCAGCAGGCATGAGGTCGACTCCAGCACCATCACCTCCGACTGCAGCTATTCAGCCTCGGCCGGGCTGATGCCGCCGGTGCTGCCCCATGCTCAGGGCCTTGCTGTACTTTTGACTTGCCACAGGAGCTCGCGGCGCATCCGATCTTAGAGGAGGGGAGCGTCGAGAGCAGCCGTCTCAGGTTCCAGCTGGGAGGTTGATGCAGCTGGTGACGCGAAGCAGGAAGGAGTCCTTGCATCCCGCCAAGCTCTTGCGAGCTGCGATCCAGGAGGGGGCTGAGCTGAACTCCAGCACGGTGAGCTCAATGCTGTTGGTTCAGAGACTGAGTCAAGTCAGGACGTCCCGCATGGCTTCGAGGGGCTGCGGCGGCTGATTGAGGAGGAGCACAAGCGATCCCGAGGGTTCAAGACCAGGTTGCCCCCAGCTCACTTCCGGCAGGTTCAGCGTTGTGATCTGCTGCTTGCAGGCTGTTGCGCGGGGAGCTGAGAAAGGAGACGGGAGGGAGGGTAGGAGGAGAGGAGAGTTAACTGCACCGCTCACCCTCGTGGCAGCAGCGGCTTCACCTGCTCCTGCAGGACTCGGCGAATGATCGGAGGACGACGACGATTCTGTCGTCAAGGCGACAGCGAGGGGAGCATGAGGTGGATTGGATGAGGGACTGAGCCAAAGGGGAACGAGCGTGCGAGGGTCAGGGAAGAGCGTCAGGCTGCGTTTGAGATGCTAGGCAGGACAGCAGTGTATTTTGTTGTACATAGAATCTCGTATTAAGCAAGTCCCCTTCCACTTGGTGGAGGGTCATCGTACCAGAGTAGTGGTGTGAGAGGAGGAGGAGGGGGGAGGAGGAGGAGGAGGAAGGAGGAGGAGGAGGAGGAGGAGGAGGAGGAGGAGGAGGAAGGAGGAGGAGGAGGAAGATAGAACCGATCAAACAAGGCACAACAGCAAAGTTTTACTTTAAAACATTTACCAGACTCAAAGAACTTTTCTTGTAGAATGTGATAAGGTTGACTAGAATCATCAAAATCTCAGCAATGAAAATATCAACACTCCTTCTCTCTTCCATCTCTTGTGATTTTCAGCCACCCAAAAGCAACTTCATGACCATCTTTCATGAATATCTTTGCTTTTCTTTTCAAGGAGAGTATGAGCAAACAAATTCATCAACTACAGGAAACACAACAGAGTCTCTAATCTGCTGTTAGGTCACAACTTGTGACTCCTTTGACAAACATTCTTTCACCGATACTGATCCTTACTGCATCATACATGTAAGATACAAGCAAAGGAACTCGAAAAGATATTACAAGTCACTTGCATCAAGATGTGCTACATCATAAGTATGACCCACACCAATGATCTTTTCAATCAGCTTCCGCCGCACCTTTCAACACTCAACACATTGGCCTGTATTACGTTTGCATCGTGATCGTGATAGGGAGAATGCGATATACCTTGGAGGAATTACTAGGCAGAGATGGAATTCATTGTGATAGACAGAAAGTAAGAAGTGGGTATGTCGATGGCGATAGTGTTGTATGGAGGTCCTGAGCCGACAGCATGGAGTGTGTAGGGTGAGGGGTGGGATGATGCTAGTCACGGAACACGGTAGATGTCCCATGGGATCCACTTGTTTCCTCGAATAAAGAGAACACTGCACCAAGATCGTGAGCATTCAGAGGTAGGAGCTGCATGAATGTGATTTGATTCTAGAGGGAAGAATCAGGAGCTCTTGGTTGAAGCAGATTCCCATCATGCCATCTCTATCATAATCTCCATCAACTCACCCAACCCCTCCCTCTTCCTCTTCCTCTTCCTCTTCCTCTCCTTCCCTCTCCCTCTCCCTCTCCCTCTTCCTCTTCCTCTCCTTCCCTCTCCCTCTCCCTCTCCCTCTTCCTCTTCCTCTCCTTCCCTCTCCCTCTCCCTCTCCCTCTTCCTCTTCCTCTCCTTCCCTCTCCCTCTCCCTCTCCCTCTCCTTCACCCACTCTCGCTGTCGCTCTCCCTCCCGGAAGTCTCCCATGGTGCGACCGGTGGGTGACCCCCAAAACACTACTGGAATAGTTTAGTCAAGTACTCCAAACCGATTGGATCCTATTGAAAAGGTAACTAAAACTTTACTCATCCTATTGGTTCGTTTAGGAATCCTGGCACGTGTCCCAGCGACGCAAAAATTTCAACTTTGACTGAGAGTAATTTCAAAGTTAGATGAAAAACTTGAAAAGGTTGTCGAAAACCTTCTTTGGTTTTTTTTATTTCGGCCGCTGGGTCCCCAAGGGCAGAAAATTTCAATCAAGTTTCGACGATTTGAAATTTCACAGATCTGCTAAAAAGTTTTTAAATAATGAGGCATCAAATTGACTCTATAGAATAATTTGCTGCCATTCCGCAATTTCAAGGAATTATTCTTGAGGCAGGCTTGATTATTGAAAACAATGTTTTACTCAAATATCAGTTTCCGGTTTATAAGCTCCAAACTGAAAATTCCCAATTGTTCAAGATCATTTTCAAAAAGTTCACATTTTTTCGTCATGGTCTCAAAACATTTTCAGCATTTCGTTCATATACTTGGGAGTAGCCAATGAAAATTCACGACAAAAACGCCCCCTTGTGGAAATCCTCTGTGGGGTTGCGCTTATCATCCCTGCAGCTGCTATGGCTGCGCAGTAGCGGCAGTTCGCGCCCTGCTACTCTTCGTCATGCTCCTCCTCCTCCTCTCCTCCACAGATTTCAAGCACAATTATCCTTCTTCCCCCAGATGGATTCTTGATCGGATCTTCCCGGCATGCTTCTGCCTTCCTCCTCCTGCGTCATCCCTTCCACCTACCACGTAGACACGTGGAGTGATAAGCCTCTATCCTTGTCCGTGAAGTCTCCTTCTTAGTTTCTCCTCATTCTTCGCTTCACCATCCATGTGCTTGTCCCTCGATCAATGTTGCTATCGGGTTCTCTCGCTGCTGCCTGCGTTGGCCTTCATTGCAACCCTTACCACTTCGTGAACCCTTTCTGGCGATCCGCTGGGTTCCCGAGATCTTTTAACAACAGACTCTTTCCTCGACACTTGCCCCGTTTGTGTTTGTTGACAATGATCTATCTCGTTGCCTCCATGTTTTTTTCCTTCCTGGTCTTGTTTGCGCATGCTGTGTTTTCCATTTGTACACGTGGCCAATTCTGGTAAAATTCCCTAATCAGCACTAGGCGTGATGATCGAGTAAGATTCATTCAGGACTCTGGATTAGATCGTAGATCGTTGTTTCTCCTTTCCTTGCTCAGTGTATCGTTGTTACTTTCCCGTTCAACACACAATCGAGGCGTTGCATGCAACATCTGGTGACTCTGAACCCTTGTGCTAGGTCCAGCAGGGCGTGGATTTGGGGAGGGGTCCTCGAATCGCTCCTTCCGTGGATCAACCGTTGTCTTAGATCTAGGACGTTTCAGCCATGGGAGTCCTTCTTTCCAAACCCAACACAGACAAAGTTTTTGACGATGGTGAAAGCGAGAAGATCGCCTATGCAGCTTGTTCCATGCAGGTGGGTTCTTTTGCTTCAGTCTGCAGCCTTTGAGTCACAGCAACAATTTTTGGATGTTTCATTGCCAATTCTTGAAATTGCAGCCTAGAAGTTTCGTCTTTGTCATTGCCCATTCCCTGAAATTCAAACTCAACAGGGATGGCGCACTACCATGGAAGACGCGCATGCTGCCGAGCTTGACATTGATGGCAAGAAGTCAGCATTTTTTGGTGTCTATGATGGTATTTGATACTCGCGTGCACTGCATGAGTTTCTCACGCTTCTTTCAGGCCATGCTGGCACAGATGTGGCAATCTACAGCAGTAGATTTCTCCACAAGAATTTGTTGAAGAGCCCTCTGCTTAAGGTTGGTTTGATTGGACAGTTCCGTGTGTTTGGTCTCTGATAATCTTTCGTGTGATCAGCAAGGACAAATAGAAGCTGCTTTGAAGGAGGCCTTTCTCAAGACTGACAGTGATTTGCTCACGAGTGAGGGAATGAGCGAATGTGAAGCAATAAGGAGAGAGATAGCAAGAAGGTTCGATCTGCTCTGCTTGTCTGTCGCATGTGTGACGACCATGGCTGACTTTGAAAGCAGAGACGAAGACGAAGACGAGGAGGATGAAGATGGCAGCATTCATGTTACTGACAGTGGCTCTACGGCCGTCACCTGCCTGGTACTGATTTATGTTTGAATGTTTGCGGGCAAACATTGAATTCTGCTCGCAGATTTTAGATCGTGTCATTTATTGTGCCAATGCTGGAGATTCACGAGCGGTTCTTTGTCGTAATGGAACAGCGGTCGATCTGTCTGAAGACCACAAGCCCACCAACGCTGTGGAGAGGACGAGGATTGAGAATGCAAACGGATTTGTTGAGGACAAAAGGTGTGTGTCCGAGATGCAGAATTCTTTGTTTGGTTCACCTTGCTCCCAGGGTCAACGGCACCTTGGCTGTAGCAAGAGCTATGGGAGACTTTTCCTTCAAAGCAGACAAACAGCTGCCTCCCGAGGAGCAGCAAGTCACTTGCAATCCTGAAATTAAGAAGTTTCCAATGCAGGTCTGCCGCCCGATGGCGCTTGCAACCCAGAGATATCTGACATCTTGACTTTCAGGAAGGTGATGAGTTTATCATTATGGCTTGTGATGGTATTTGGGATGTCGTTTCAAGCCAGCAGTGCGTAGATCTGGTAGATCTGGTTTTGTTGTTGATCGTGTTTTTCTGATCACCTTGGTGTAGATTCGGGAAAAGCTGAATGGTGGTAAGAGCCTTCGTGAAACGCTCTCCGATCTTTTTGATCATTGTCTCTCACCCCATCCGTCTGCCAATGAGGTCTGACTGCTGCTTGCGATTTTTCGATTGACATGGTCGAAAGGGTCTCGGATGCGACAACATGACAGCAATCATTGTCAAATTCAAATGAGCAAGCTGCAAATGGAATCGATGTCTCGCCCGTTTGCCATCACGAACGTCAAACAGTCACTGTGCTGTGAAGGACCTTCATAACCCTTGTGTTTTTTTGGGACATGTTTTCAATGCATTATTTGAATACTGATTTCTCGCGTCACGGATCGTGTCTAGCCTCCCCTGCAACTTACGGGGAGACAGACTCTGGTACCGTCAATTGATAGGATGGAGGGATCGGATAGCAGGATGCTGGTTGGGGGAGGGCGAAGGGCAAGGTCGAGGCTGAGGGAAGAAAAGCGGGCGAGTGGGACGTTAACTGTGACTTCCACGTCGTTGTGAAGGAGGAGGAGGAAAATCTTGATTTGTATGAGGATTGTAGCGGTAACGAAGAGACAATGGAAGGAGGAGGAGGGAAGGAGAGAGAGTTTGACCAGGAGCTGTTGACGGATCTGAACATGATCGATCATCAGCTGGTACTAGCATCGCTCTCCTCTCCTGACTGAACGTTCCGCTGCTGGGAGAAAATCTCCTTGACCTGCACTTGTACATCAGGACACAAGCTCCTCCTCCTCCTCCTCCTCCTTCTCCTCCTCCTCTAGCTTCTGCTCTCCCTCTCTTTCTCCTCCCCCTACATCCCCCCCACCATCAGCTACTAACTCCTCCTCCTTCCCCTTCCCCCTCCCCCTCCTCCTCCTCCCTCTCACCTGCTGGGAGGTGGTCGCCTGGCTCGCCCCCTTCTCCTCTCGCTCTCGCACGAAGCGAGGGAAACGGAGAGCGATGCCGCGGGAAGCATGGACAACCCCGTAGCAGGCCGTGTGCTGGGACAGCATGAGTCATGAGTGCCTGAGGGGAGAGACAGAGCTCTGGAGAAGGAGGAGGGGTTGGGGGGAGAAAGAGCAAGACTGTGAGGAGGAGGAGGAGGAGGAGGAGGAGGAGGAGGAGGAGGAGGAGGAGGAGGAGGGGGGGTGGTGATGGTATTAGGTTAGTAGTAGTAGCAGTATTAGGAGGAGGCGGCGGCAAGGGTGGGACCTGCGGTGAAAGGGAGAGATCCGCAGCTGATATCTCCCAGACCGTCGAAGGGTCAAACCAGACGTCAGGCTGGTTGGGACCTTCCGGGACTTTTGCGTTGCCTGCGAAGAAGGGTGAGAGGAGGAGGAGGAGGAGGAAGAGGAAGAGAAGGAGGAGAAGGAGGAAGAGGTCTTCACTCACGAGGAGGGGTCTGTACAGCCTTGGGGGAAAGGTTCTTCATGAACTGCTGTAGATTCTCGTCGCTGAATCCGGATCCTGTTGCTTCCCCTCAGCCTACCCGTCCTGCTCCTGCTGCTCCTGCTGCTGCTCCTGCTCCTGCTGCTGCTCCTGCCCCTGCCCCTGCCCCTGCCCCTGCCCCTGCCCCTGCCCCTGCCCCTGCTCCTGCTCCTGCTCCCCTCGCGATTCTGAGTACCCTCCAATCCTCCCTGTCCCCCACATTTCTCTCAACCATTCTTCCACCACCTTCGAAACACCCTGACTCTCATCTATCCTACTCTTTCCCTTCTCTCCTCCTCCCTCTCTCCTCCCTCCCGCTCTCACTCTCCCCTTCCCGACACCCTCCCCCTCCTCCTCCTCTCACCCAACTTGCAGACTGTCTCGAACTCGTCAGTCTCCGAGTTGTAGCAGGCGAGCAGGAAGGCTCCGTAAACCCCCGTGCGCTTCCCTCGGCCCTGCGAGACGGTGAGGACTTTGAGGAGGAGGCGAGAGGAGGAGGAGGAACAGGAGACAGGAGACAGAAGGCAGGAAGAGGAGGAGAATGAGGAGAAGAAGGACGAGGGAGGAGCTCAAGAGGGAGGAGCACAAGGAGCAGGAGGACAGAGGGGGGAAGGTGGTGGAGAGCATGAGGATCAGTAGCTGCGAGGAAGAAAGGGCTGCGGTGGTTGTGCACGCAGGAAGTTGAAACTTTGAAATTGCCTGCCATGCCCCGACGACGACGAGGTCGAAGGTATCGACCATCCCCTCTATGTAGTCCTTCTTGAGCTGTGAACCCACCAGTCAGCCCACCTCCCTCCCTCTCATCTCTCCTACTTCTCCTTCATCCGTCCTCATCTATTCGCTCCCTCTCACTCCTACTTCTCACTCCTCACTCCCTTCTCCTCCTCTTCCCCCCCTCCCTCCCTCCCTCCCTCCTCCCCCAGCACCTCTCCTCTCCACCTAACTTCCATGTTCTTCTCTTCGCTCCACCTCCCTCTTTCTTCCTCTCTCCCTCTCCCTCTCTCCCTCTCTCCCTCTCTCCCTACCTTGAGCCATTCCCTCGACCGCTTGTCCGGCGCATATTGCGACGGTTCGCCCTCGAGGCTCTTGATCATGAGCCCCTCGCAGCTGTCCTGAAGGGCCACCTACAAGTTTGCGGGGGGAGCTGAGAAACCACGGGAGATGCGCAGCTGGGAGGAGAGACCTGAAAGAACTCCTCCATGTCCTCCGGCGAGGTTGGGTCGATGGAAGAGACGAATTTGAACCTTCCCTCCACTTCCCTCAAGTTTTGTCTGTACAAGAGTGAGGAGGAGGGGACGAAAGTGGAGGGAGGGAGAAGGAGGAGGAGGGAGGGGACACGATGGAGAGGGGGGGAGATGAGTTCATGGGATAGAGAGGAAGATTTGAAAGAGGGAAAGCGGCGTGGGTGTCGGTAAGAAGAGTGAGAGGGAGGAGGAAAAACAGGAGCAGAAAGGGGCAGGTGGCAGAGCAGGAGGGGAGGAGCGAAAGGAGGAGGAGGGGCAGGAAAAGGAAGGAGGAGGAGGAAGAAGGAGTAGAAGGGGAGCAGGAGACCGCAGGATCTGCCTCCTCTCAATGAGGGGGCGGCGCATGAGACTTTCTCCGTTAAGGAGGAGGATGTCAAACGCAAAGACGCAGACGTCAACTTTCAAGGAGCTGAGCTGAACATTCTTGCGAGCTCGGGTCGACAGAATCTGCGATTGGAATGAGGGGGTCAAAGAACGGAAGAGGCTAGGAGGACGGAGGAAGGGGGATAGAAGGAACCAAGAAGAGGGAGCAGGAGCGAGGAGAGTACAGGGTAGGAGGAGGAAACGAGGACTTGCCTGGAATGGGAGGATACGATTCGTTGCCCTCTCCACCGCCACGACCTCACAGTCCAGGATGGCTGACTTGACGCCTAACGCCTCTTGTCATCGTCTCGGCTCCTCCCTCGGTTCCCACCTCCTCCCTCGACGATCTTCGGCAGCAGCTCGACGATGTCTGGGAATTTGCCAGTAGTGTCCTCTGAGTTCCTGCGACAGGAGCTGAGAAGGTGGCAGGAAGCAGAGAGCTAGGAAGATTGCAGAGAAGGAGTGGAGGAGGAGGAGGAGGAGGAGGAGGAAGAGGGCAGATGTGGCGGGAGGAGCTGGGAAACAAGCAGGAGGCAGCAGGTGAGCTGGGGACCTGCTGAACACCTTGACCTTCTGATCCTCCAGCCAGTGGATTTGACTCCTCTCGCCGTCGTACTTGTACTCGCACGTGACAGTCTGTGCCCAGCAGGGTGTCAAGCTGCCTTGTCAAGCCGCTCCAGCTCACCTTGTTGCCGAACCTCTTGGTCACTTCGGACACTCCCCGAGACGGATGGGCGAGCATCGGCTTGACGGGAACCCCAGGGGTGAGAGGGCAGAGAACAGGGAGCTGCTGGTAGGAGTGCTCGAGCAGGATGGGGACGACAGTCTCGTAGCAGGGCTGCTGGGCCAGCGCCTCCTTCAGCGCCTCGGTCGCTATGCTGCTCTCCTTCTTGAACTCTTCGGGGGAAAGGGAAGGAGGAGGAAGAGGAGAGGGGAAAGAGGAGGAAGAGGATGCTGGAGGATGGAGGACGAAGGTGGCGGCTAGAGCGCTGATGACTGACGGCTCTGCCAGCCCCACCCGCAACTTGCCTTGGAGGATGCGGGTGATCCAGAGCGACTCGTTGCCCCTGGCAGCGACGAGGAGGCAGAGGATAATATCGCGCCGTTGCTTGACTGACTCGCTCCCCTCTATGGCAGCCGCAGACTTCATGGCCTCGAAGACGCTCCGGACGGTGAGGGCCCGAACGGGAGAGAGGGAGAGCTGGTTCCTTCTAGGGGCAAGGATGAGAGGGAGAGAGAGACAGAGGGAGGGAGGAGAGGGAGGAAGGGAGGAGGAGGGAGGAGGAGGGAGGAGGAGGAAGGGATGAAAAGGACCAGAGAGGGAGGGGGGAAGGGAGGAAGAGAAGGAGGGGAAGAGAAGGTAAGGAAGAAGGCAGGAAGACAAGGAGGGAGGAAGGGGAAGGAGGGGCGGGAAGGATAACGAGAGGAGGAGAGGAGAAGCGAGACAAACCTTGTTGCCACTGCCACCTGTCCCAGATCTCCAACTTTCTTGTACTCCTCCTTGATCTTGGACGTCTCATGCCCTGATGCCGCAGCGATCGCCTGCACCAGCACGCTGTCGCCGACGCCGAGCTCGAGGCCCTTGAAGGGAGGAGCGACGCGACCCAGCATGATGTAGACGAAGGGAACAAGGTCATCAGGTGTAAGTCGGCGGACGGTACTCAACGCAGCAGTCACGATGGAGATGATCTCAAGTCTCTTGGAGGTGCCCTGTACCCTGTCCAGGGTGCTGCTGAGGTGGCTGAAAGGGACCGGTTCTCCCTCCTTCCACTCCACGTGCACGTCTTCATCCCCCCTCCCTCCTTCAGCTGCTCCTGCTGATGCTCTTCCCTCCTCCTCACTCACTCTCTGCTCCTTCCCTCCTTCGGGCTGTTCCTGATCCTCCTCCTCCTCCTCCTTCTCTTCCTTCGGCTCCCGAGGGGGAGCAGGTTGCTTCGCCCTCCTCGTTCTCGCCCTGGGAGCAGGAGTTTCGTCCTCCTCCTTCGCATCAACCTTGATCTTCGGCGGCCTTCCTCTCCTCTTCTTCGTCTCCGGCTGTCCCGGCTGCCCCGTCGCTTCTTCACTCTCAGCCTTCTTGTTCGTCCTCCTCCTTGTTCCACCTCTCGCTCCCGCCGCTGCCTCCTCCGCGCCCTCCGTCGCGTTTCGAATCATGGAGGACATCGCCAGCACACCTGGCCGAGATGAAAGGCAAGCAGCAGCACCCGTCAGTCAACATACACTTGTCAAACTGAGCTACCTGTTATCAAGGACGAGGCTGCCGCCCCAGTATCGTCCGACAGTCCCCTGCTCCCCTGCATGGACAAATCTTGCTCCGAGGATGCGAGCGAGTTCAGCTGCACCCCTCCTCTCTTCACGCGCATGTTCAAGGGAGCACCGGCGCCTTGTGCCTTCACCTGCTGCTCCTCGTCCCTGCTTTCCGGTTTTCCTCCCTTGAGCATGAGGAGCTTGAGGAAGCGGAAAGTTGTGACCATCGACAGGTATCTAGAGAGGATCGGACTTGTAAGTGTGCTCGGGTGGAGCGAGATGGACAAGCAGGACAGGAGCGAGGAGCCTGCAGAGCGCCCGCCATGCGCTGGATCCGAGCTAGACATCGCCATGCACGCAAGCCTCTTCGACTTCCTCCTCAGCGGAAGCAGAGGGTTGCTCTCTATGAAGGCAGCCCCGAGGGAGGACGGCATCATGCGCTGAGATCTGGAGCTGAGCAGTTCCATCCAACTCCTGGCTCCGGGAGAGGCTGCCTTGCAGTAGAACTCTCCTCCTGAGGGAGGGGTAGGAAGGTGAGACGGGTTGGGGAGGGAGATCGAGGGGAAAGACGAGGAGGAGGAGGAGGAGGAGGGAGCAAGGAAAGAGGCTGGCTGTAGGCGAGGACTGATGAGACTCGATGCTCCTGCATGGATGGCGGCAGGGTAGCAGGCAGCGGCCATGGCCATCAACATCGGTCGCACCGGCGCCATCGCTGGGCCACTAGGAGTACTTCACTCAATTATCACACAAACAAGTCTGCCTCAGGAATTAGATATATGATCCAACAAAGGCAGAAATGAGAATGAGATTATTCAAATTGGCGTGTAGGGCAGGAGGTGGGATGGGAGGAAGGGCGAAGCAGGAGAGGAGAGGAGCAGAGGAGCAGAGGAGCAGAGGAGGAAGAGAAAAGGAGAAAAGAAGCAAAGAAGAGAGCAGGAGGCAAAGAAAACAAGGTAAAATGCAGAATGCAGGAGGAAAAAGGCAAAGAGGCAGAGAAGAGAGAAAGGAGGGAGGTGGCGAGTTGGGCGGGCAAGCAAAAATGGGTAGGTAAGGGAGAGGGAGGGCAGGTGAAAGAGACAGGGTCCTGTTTCCTCCTCCCTCCCTCTTCGCTCCTCTCTTCATTCGTATTTCCCCTTTAGCCGTTCAAGGCCTTCAAGAGCCACGGGCATGGTGGAAGATAACGAAGTGGCTCGACGAAGTTGATGATGGCGACATAGACGATGAGAGGAGTTCCTTAGGCAAAGAAGGGGAATGGAAGTGTGGGAAGGTGGACATGGGAGGGGAGAGGAAGGAGGAGGAAGAGGGCAAGGAAGGGGAAAGGAATTGTGGGGAGGAGGAACCTTATGCTGACATTTCAATCATGAAATGTAAAACAACAGATGCAAAGACAGAGTGACAATGGAGATGACTGAGAAGTTAATGATGATTGCAGTCGTGATCAGGAGTTTGCGAGAACGAAAACCAAAACGTACACATCGATTAGTGAAATGAGAATGAAATGATCTTGGGTTCTCCAGGCAGAAAACAACGTGACTGTCAAGCGCATGTAACATGCATTATTCAAAAGAAACATGTTGAGACATAATCGGCATCTTTGGTAACACCGCAAACTGATAATCAGACAACTCTCCTCTAACATCAAAGAGCCAAAGGATTGTAGTGCAGAAAGAAAGCTTCACGTTTCAAAGTTTGTTTTGTTTGTACATGTTGTTTTCAGAACTTAAAACAGTCTAGTATCCCTCATCTCCGGAAGCAGTGGAGACCTTGCCATACACGATGCCCTTAATCAAGACCTTCTTGGGAGCCTTGGATCCCATATCAGTGTCAGACAGCTGCTCAGAGACGAACACGCCAGAGAACTCTCCCGTCTGCCCATCAACCTTGTTGACCGCGAACTCCATGCTTCCGTCAGTGACCTGGAAGACCTTGTTGTTCTCCTTGAAGAGCTCAGCCTGTCCCTCGTTGCCATCAGCCTCAAAGGCAGGAAGAGCCTGGGCCATGTCGTATCCAGTGGTGGCACCACGTCCCTTGGGGTCAAGGAAGAGACCGGAGCGGTAGGAAGGGACGGTGAAGGTTCCGCCGAACTCGGTTCCGGGGGAGATACCCTTGGGGGCGGTGGCCTTGGCGACGAGCTCCTTGATGGTGAAGAAGAAGGGAACACGCTCGCCTCCAGGAAGCTGGACGGTGGTGGCGGCGTAGTCGAGACCCTCCTTCTCCTGGAAGGTGAGGGAGCCGTCCTTGTCGTAGAAGAGGGGCCCCTCGACACCGGCAAGGGAGTAGGTGGCACGGGTCACGAGCTTGGTGTCAACAAACTCTGTAGACGACAGTCAGATTGAGAGAGTCAAAAGGAAGAGTATCATCGCACCTCTGCGGCTCTCGCCACGCTTCTTCTGCACCTCGGTCTCGATCTGGAAGGACTTGGGCTCAATGCAGAGGTCAGTGATCTTGTACTTGGTGTTCTGTTGGAGCACGATATCCTCTCCGTTGGACTCGACCTCAGGGCAGCGGTTGGCGATACCAGTTCCCTTGACCTCCTCGTAGGTGAGGTTGTTGATGTCCTTGCTGGTCAAGGCGTTGGCAGCGTCGGCTCCTCCAATGATCAAGGGGAGGGCAGCCAATCCAGCCGCGGCCACCTTGACGTTGCTCTGCGCAGACATGGAGACCGCGCATGTGGCACGCTGGTTCACCTGTGGGCAGCATGGTCATGCGCCCGCAGCTCATATAGCACATCTAGTTTGTTGCTCGTGACAAACATCCATGATTCCTCCCCTCTTCTCCTTCCCTCACTTCTCATGATTTCTGACACGTGTCATTTTAAGATGTCACAGATCTGAACAAGCAGTCTCCCCTCATCCCGTCTGTTTCTCCTACAGCCCCGCCCCTGTCTTTCTTGCACACATGGAAGATAAAGAAAATCTCAAAAGCCAACAGACAGGCAGAGAAGCTGTAGGGAGCAAGGGTTGCGGAGGAAGGAACAATCGACCATGGCAGACACAAAACTGACGATTCAACACAACCACAGAGCGTTCTCCCCGCAGCAACCATCAGCAACAGAGCACGATGTGTACCTTAGCAGGAGCTCCAGAACGGAGGGTGGGCTGGAAGGCGGCGGCAGAGGCGGCAACGGCGGCCAAGCACGCTGATCGGGTGAACATGGCGGGGGGGCTGTTCGGCGGGAGGAGCAGGAGAAACTCCTTAAGCCCTCAGAAAGGCGTCAGGTCCTCCACCCCCACCCCCTAAATCTCACAGATGAATATTCCCACCCCTTCAAAATCCTATACCCCACCCACTCAATCAGACTCATAGAGCATGCATTGATTGCCCACCCTACCCCTTAGAAGGACCCGGGTCCAACTCCACCCTCGAATCACATTTGATCCTCCACCCTACCTCCAGTCATTAACTATACCAGGACCCACCTGTATATCGACCGCTACCCAAGGTCCTGATCATTAGAGGTCGGATGGACCCTACCCCCCATCTGGACCAGCTTCCCATCATTCATACCCCTACCCTTCAGTTTGTTGCACCACCCCTTACGACCCAATCATTACAACTACCCCCACCATACAGTTAAACTACCCATGTCTCAGACCGGCACTGAACTACCCTCTGATCATCATGTCCTACCCCCACCCACCGGCAAATTCATTCCGGTCCGCCTCAGGTTATTTACCACCCCCTAGGCTCGTACAACCATACACCCCTACGTGCCGACTACCCTACCCCCTCTGACACCCATTCTAAAAACGATGACCATATTTTTGATTACCCACCCTTCAATTGAGTTGACCCCACCCATAATATTCAAGCATTTTTGTTTTCAAAAGAACCCGTATTCCCGTTCTTGTCACCCCTGCTGTTTACCACCCACCCTCTGTGAATCGCCCCATCATTCACCCCCCAGGTTGGTGGGTGCTGACCCACCCCATAGCTGACGACCCCTTCGCCCCTGAGATCAAAAGTCTGACGAGAATGATCGTAGACCACATCCCTGCACTGACCCAGCCTGCCGGCGGACTCATGAGGTGACCGCCGGGCCGCAGCATACCGGGGCCCGGCCGGGCCCGGCCCGCACGGACGCCCCCGGTCACCGGGCACCCGCTGCTACGGGCCTGGCAATCCAAGGCTAAGTTCAGACGGTCACGCAATCAAGTTAGTACAGCGCCAACCGTGGCCTGATGCGAGTCTCAGCATCGCCGGATCGGACTCGCGGCGAGACACGGGGGGGGCCTCCGATGCTCAGTGTCCTGAGTCCTCCGGGCCGAGGCTCGCCGGAGTCTCCGAAGTCAGAAGTCAGCCTGGCAGGCTGCCGCAGCACACGGTGCCGCGGAAAACATGAGGTTGTAGGCTAAAAGACTGTCACGTGAGTAAAAGAAGTCACATCATTTGGCGTGACCGTACGCCGGCGGGCCCGCCACGGTCCGTCTGTGAGTACCGGCGAGTCTATCACTCAGTGACTGGTCCGGCCGACTTGACCCTCACACAGCACGCACATGTTCCGTTGAGTAGTCTCATGGCGGGAGAGAACGGAGAAGGGCGGATCGAGCAAGAGGAGGAGAAGGAGGAGAGGGATGAGGAGGGAGGGAGGAAGGTAGAGAGCTAGAGGGAGAGAGGGGGGGAGGGGGGGAGAGCGAGAGAGAGAGAGAGAGGGAAGAAGAGAAGGAGAGAGGGCAAAGGGGAGCACGGGAGGGCGAGGGGGAGTGGGGGAGAGGTAGCGGTGAGATAGCTGATAGTTGGCAGCAGAAGCCGAGACGAGACAAGATACGAGGGAGCAGGAGGGTGATGAAGTTCTGTTGAGTCTCATGCAGGTTGAGGGTGGTGGTGGGAGGTCGCAGGAATGCGCTCCTACGTAGAGCCGATGCGGACGCCGACTGCTTCCATTCACTCGGGCATGCGCTACCATCCTCGCCTCTTCGACAGACAGAGGGAGGGGAAAGAGATGCTCAAGGAGAGGGGGGAAGCCGTGCCGAGCTACGTCAAGCATGCGGCGAACATGCCGCTTGGGGGAGGGGCGGCGGTCTTGACACCAACGATCGCGAGGCATATGTCCTCTGCTGCCAAGTCCCTGGTGACCCCAGGTAGGAAGACTCGATGACATGCTGCAGCTGAGCTCTGTTCGCAGCATGGCGCAACTCCACGGGCCTGACGTCGAAGGACCTGATGAGCCCCGCATACTTGATGGCCCTGGCTAGCCCCCTCTTCCTCGGCAGGGAGGAGGAGGAGGAGGAGGAGGAGGAGGAGGAGGAGGAGGAGGAGGAGAGCGTGAGGGCGCGTCGGCCCAGCCTTCTCTTGACGAGGCTCCAAGGGGTCTGGTCCTCCTTGGGGGTTGGGCTGAGTGTTTACAGCAGGCTCGCTTGCTCCTTCCTCTACAGCCAGGCGCAGCCCCTGAGCGTGCGGGCTGGGGCCTTTGTTAGGGAGCAGGCGACGTCAGCGATCGTGTCGATCCAGGCTCTCAACTTCCTCAGCATCCTCATGTTCATCGTCAAGTTTGTCCTGCGCACCTGCGCCTACCTCGTCAGAAACGTCCTGCTCATCGGCTTCGAAGTCCTGAGCACGTTCCTGGTACTCAGCAACTCGTCCTGGCTACGGAACCTCCTTCTTCCCCTTCTCCTTTCCTTTCTCCTCCTCTCCACCGCTACTACCACCTCCTGGCCGCCGCCGTCGACCTCCTCCTCTTCCTCCTTCTCCTCCTCCTCCTCCTTCCTCCTCCTCTTCTTCTTCCTCCTCCTCCTCCCGATCTTCCCACTCCTCCTCCTGATTTATCTCCTTTCCCTCTACCTTTCACTCATCCACGTTCTCGCGACGAATTCTTATCCCTTGGCAGGTCGTCGTCAACGACAGCCTGCAGAGCTCAATGGCCCGTGCAGAAGCGAGCAAAGAGAGGGAGGGAGAATGGTTCTCCCCTCCTCTCCGCAGCTCCTTCCGGCGCAGTGCTGTAGCCCCGCAGTCGTCGCATGCTGGTGAAGTCGAACACGGCTGTCGTACCCCTTGCTGATGATGATGTGGCAGTCTTGACACGGCCAGTCTCCGATCGCCCAGGGAACGCTCCTCCTCCTCAGCTCCACCAGCCGGTCTCGCAGACCTGGTCGGCAAGGAGGAGCAGTAGACCTCCGATGGTGTCGCGTGAGGAGCTTCTGCAGGAGCAGCAGGCGAGAAAAGACGCGGAAAGCAAGATCCTGGAGCTAGAGGTGCGTTGCTTCGAGGAGGAGGAGGAGATGAGGAGGACAAGAAGAAAAGGAGTTGAGGAGGAGGAAGGGGGGGGGGAGAGGAGATAAGGCAGAAGAGGAGGAGCTGAATGTCTGTACAGAGGGAGATCTGGCACGCTCGACAGCAAAATAAGCAGCTGGAGAAGCGGATCCAGGCCGTAGAGGCCATTCAGCCTGCAGGCAGGAGGGCGGAGGAGGAGACAGGGCAGCAGGGGAACAAGTCAGACCGATTCTCTCCCCACACGCTGAGCATGCCGGAGGGCTCGACAGGATTGGCAGGGGTGAAGTTGGAGCTGCGGGAGGAGCCGGTAGAGGCTCCTGTGATGCTGCAGAAGCGCTCCGATGACGGCGATCTTCATGCTCCATGGTGGAATGGCGGCACCCCGACGTACCGGAGGGGAGGGAGGGAGAGCGAGAGAGGCAGGAGGCAGGAGGAGATCGTCAGCCAGATGCGAGAGAATCTCAAGAGGAACCACCTGACTCTCAGGTCGACCAAGGAGGAGGAGGAGGAGAGTCAGGCAGCAGGGGAGCAGAAGTCGACCGGGACAGGAGCGGGTCCGATGAGAATGTTCAGCTGAGCTCTCGGCCGATGCACATCGGCCGTGCTCAGGGCCAGCAGCCACTCTCCTTCAAGTCCCTCCTCTCCAACGATCGCTCCTCTTCTCCTGCTCCTTCTCACGCTCCAGCTGCTCCTCCGGCCCCGCCGTCTCCTCCCTCCCCTCCTACACATCAGGCTGCTGCAGTCTCTCCCCCTTCCTTCGATCCTCCTCTTCTTCATGCTGGAAGGACTCCCGCTTCTGAGCATGCAAGGACCCTGCCGATGGCAGGTCCAGCGGTAAGGAGGACAATACACAACGAAGAGGCTCCTGTTGCTTCTGGTAAGGAGCTCCCAGCACAGGCAGACATGCTGAAATACTCTCCTCTCCTTCCTCGATCTCGACTCACCAGCAGGCTGGCTGGAGTTCTGAGCAGAGAGAGGGAGAGGGAGAGGGAGAGGGAGAGGGAGAGGGAGAGGGAGAGGGAGAGGGAGAGGGAGAGGGAGAGGGAGAGGGAGAGGGAGAGGGAGAGGGAGAGGGAGAGGGAGAGGGAGCAGCAACAGCAGCAGCAACAACAACAGCGACAACAAGAGCGGCGGCGGCAGCAGCAACAGCAACAGCAACAGCAACAGCAGGAGCAACAGCAACAGCGGGAGCATCGACAGCCGCTGGAGCAGCAGCGGCGGCAGCAAGGGAAGGAAGGAGACGAGAAAGAGAAAGGGGGCAGACCGACTTGGGCCGTGAAGCTAAAAATCGACACCTTGCCCAACGTTCCTCTAGCAAAAGTCCAGCAGCCTAGCGAGGAGACGTCGAAGATTGGCTCGTGGAGGCAGCGATGGCAGGAGGAGGAGGAGGAGGCGGAGGCGTACAACGGAGTGATGACAGATGAGCCGGTTCAAAGAGCTTTCAACAAGCAAGAGGCGGCGGTGGCGCCTCGAGGAGCAAACGGGAGCAAGCGAGTGCTGGAGGGAGGAGGAGCGAAGGAGGAGGCAACGGGGCCCGGGAGGAGGCTGGGTCCTTCCCAGAAGGAGGAAGCCAGTAAGCTGCTCAGCTCCCTTGCCCAGCAGGTGTCGTCCACCAGCGCCATTCGGCTCGATCGCATGCTGAAGCATTTCGTCGGTCAGAGGTCTGGGCGGCTGCTGCCTTGTGGTGCTTCTGTGCCTGAAGTCCTTGCAGCTCGTCCATGGCTGAGAAAGTTCGATCGCTGTGCCTGCACCTCGGGCTGAGGGTGGAAGAGGAAGAGGCGAAGCGGCTGATTCTGCTGACTGGAGGTCAGTTGAGACTTCAGTCCTTGTGACGTTTTCGATCTCAATGCCTTTCCTCGTGCTTGTCACAGTTGAGCTTTCAGTCTGTCTCCTTGTCTCTCTTGTTTCTCGTTTCCCAATCTCCCTGCCCTCCATCCCTTTCCCTTTGCTCTCCTCTCTCTCCTTCTCCCTCTGCCTCTCCCTCCCCCACCATCTTCACTCCCAGCCCCCTGCCCTTCTCGCTCCTCTCCCTTCCTCTATTCCTCCTTCTCCCCCTCGCTGATTTCATCCGCAATCTCGATGTCTCGGTGCAACCTGCGTCCCCGCGCTAGCATCTCTCATTTCCTCCCTCTCGTTGCTCCTCCTCCGGACCACCTCTCGTCTCTCCTCTTGCTTCTTCTCAACCGTCTCTCACCTGATCTCTCTGCTTGCTTCTCCTAAATCCTTCACCTCTGCAGTCGGCGACAACGGTAACCTCGTCGACTTTGTATCCAAGTTGAAGGAAGGGAGGTGAAGGGTCTGGTCTGTGCCTGCTGCAGGTATCCCATGCTTCCTACCAGCAGCTCAAGGGAGAGGAGAGAAACTGGCGGTTCTCTTTTCAACATGACACCATTGCAAACTGAATTGAACGATGAAAGTAAACCATGTTAATTCGTATCCCAGCAGAATTATGCGATGGGGAGCACAGCACAAATGTGCGCCGTCCCATTGCGAGCCACGGCATAAGCCTTCGTATTCACCGCAGGAGATTCTTGTCTAGAGCACCTCAGGCATGCAATACAGCCAACGCTTCCCGAAGCATCCTCTCATTTATTCATATTCGACCCAGTCATCCAGAGACGATCGAATGCAGAGCACAGCACAACTTTTGAAAAGGCCGAACATCGAGAGATCGCGAGTGAAACAAGTCGGATCCTTTCAGTGTTCACCCTGTGGATATTCCATCTTATTTCAAAGAAATGTTTCTCCCTTAGGAGTGGCCATAAGACCCTTGATGGCTGCTTACTCAAAGTGCGTTCTTTTTGACCCTTCTTGACTTTATTCTGTTCTGAATCTTGGCGATTCGCTGATCAGCCTTGTGTTTCGCCCTCTCTTCAAAGGGATCCGAAAAGATGTCCTGCCAAAGTATCAAAACAGAGCGATTCAAGAATTTTTCACAACAAAATCGTTGGCTGAGTCGTTTTCTTCGACAGGTTTGGTTTGCTTGCACTCCTGTACTTGCATGCTAATGGAGGTGAATCGCTTTGTGATTGAATCCACAGCCTCTTTCATTTCGGATCTTGCAAGAACTGCTTAATTTCATGCTTCCATTCATTTTGCTGATTCCTTACCGCAAGTTCTCTAAGTGCTGGTGAGAACTTTTCTCCAGCTTGTCCAACTTCATCAGCATTTCTTCATTTTGATTTTGAATCTCCTCCGAACGTCGCTTGACAAAATCGAAGACCTCAAGATAACGGTCTTAGAAATTCTTACGCAGACCATCACATCATTCAAAAACTTCAGCACAACAATTCAAGATCTGCTTATTTCTGTTGCACCTGTGCCAATTCTTGTTCGATTGAACTCAGTTTCTTGAATGCGTCATCCTTTTCAGATGTTGACCTGTCGTCTTTCAACTGAAAACAGCTCTTAATCCTTATCAGAGCTTCGAGAGTTTCCTTGAATAAGTCGTCATAGATATGAATTGTCTGCTCTCTAAAGGAGTTCGTGATGGTATCGATGGTGCCTTCACTCCTTTTCACTTCTGTGCGATCTAACTCATCGTTCATGGCTAGCAGGCGAGTGTACACCTACCACGACATCAGCATCGGTTCTGTACAGTCAGATGATCATTCTACTGTCCTACCGGAGAAGGCATTCGTTTGCTTACAGTTTGAATGTATGAGTTCAGTGAGGTCATCCCAGGATGTACTAGAAGACTATTGGCTGTTGCAGAATTTGGAATTCGCGAATGGCTGTAATGGGATGCTCTGCTTTGCGAAACTTGAGAGAAATTTGTTTCGGATTCCACCTGCAGATTTACTCATAAGATCAGGGAGAGAATCTGCATCAATGCGCCATACCCAATGAGGCTGGTCTCTCGAAGCGCATGTTTGACTCTCTGGGCCTGCTGTGCTTGCCTGGCTCAACGAAGACTCGATGCTGTCTGTGGTGGACTGGCTGTCGAAGAGGAAGCTTCTTGGACCAGCCACACCTTCATGAGACGCTGCTTGCTGGGCATACCTGCCGCTGAAGTCGCCATACCTGCGCATGGGGTCCTCCCGTCTCCCAGAGTGCATGGGCAAAGTTTGTGGCACCCCAAAGCGCGGGAGACAATGATGTTTTACTCAACTTGGTCAATACTAAGGTGGAAACCGCAGTAGCCGGAGGACCGAAACAGAAGGTTCTGGGGCAGGCTCTCCTGCAGGCTCTCGGGCAGGTTCTGGGGAGCCAGCTGGCTCGGGAGCTGTCTGGGGAGGCTGCGAGGAGGGCAGCAGGGAGGGCAGCTCGGATGCTGTGGGCCAAGTTGGGGGAGAAGTGGGTGCCGAAATGTTGGGTACGCACTTCTGAAAAGCATTTTAGCCTGATAGTTCACGCCTGCGAACCTTGCAAAGTCTCCTCCTCCACTCCTTCTCGTCCTCCTCTCCCTGCTCGTCCTGCTCGTCCTCGTCCTCCTCGTACTCCTCCTTAGCTTCTTCTCAGCTACTCCCTGTTGTTGCTTCCTTGAAGGCTCTTGTTCTTCGTCTTCCTCCCTTCCTCTATCATCTTCCAATTCTTCTGCCTTCTCTTCTTCTGTTAGTCTCAAGATCAACGCGTCATGCAGCTTGCGAATGCGCTCCAAAGACCATCCGCATCCTTGATTTCTGTATAGAACCTCCCACGTCAGATCCTTCACGCCCGATCCTCGAGCCGGGAGGAGGTAGTCTTCATTCGCAGGCCAACACGCGGCTACATGGCAGTGAACCACCATAATGAACGCCATGAAGAAAAGAGACGAAGTCTTGCAACGAAGATGATCCTGAGTGCTGAGTCGTTGACAGAGGGATTGTTGACGACGAGAGGCCTTTCAGTTTGGACCCTGCAGGATACTCTGAGCTGATATGATAGAATGAAGCAACCTGGTAATGAAGGGTATACTTCCGTCCTTGTCAATCTGAACGATCCCTATATGTGAAATTGTGCGAGAAAGGATGACAAATTTTGTTGATTACTTTGCTATGTATTGTTGATATCCATTGCTGCTGGATGGTTTGTCTGGATGTCCAGTGAACCGACATGCAGGGTCATGTTGAATGATGTACTGCATCTGCAACGTCCCCTACAACTCATCAAACCATTGCTCTGACATGGCAGGCATCAATAATCATCGATAGTACGAATTCACTTAGAGTTTCACAATGCTCACTGCAAAACATCATGAAATTTACATCACCCCTTCCCGTCCTTCTCTTCACGTCAGGCTCACAGCATCATTACCATCGTTGTTCCTCCCACTCCCATCCTCCTCCATGTCAGCTCCTTGATGGAACTTCGAACGATTGTCTTCAGTTCTTCTGCTTGTTGTAGTAGCCCAGCCAGCCATGAGGCAAATCCTCTTCATTCAAGATGTCAATCTCATTCTAGACATGGGTCTTTGTTTAATGAGACTATAACCACCGACATTCTCTCCTCTGCTCCTGTTAGCAAACTTGTCCTTCGCAAATCTCACCTAGATACATTCTTGGGATTGATCTACGAGAAAACTTGCCAGGAAACCTTTGACGATAAACAGTCAGATGTAATTTATTGTCACAGGAAGCACAATAATCTATCGGCTCTCAGCTCGAGCGTTACACAGCATGTTGTAGAAGATCATCGCAACCATGTTCATAGTCGGAGCCATCGCAAAGTGAAACCCGTCTGCTCCTCCCTCCCCTGTCGTGTCCACTCCAACGCTTTGAGTCGGCTCCCATGCGTCTATCACCTGCCAACCAGCCTGCTGGAACAGCCTCCTGTACTCTCCGTCCTTCTCCCTGAAAGCCCCCACGTCCCATCCTTGGTTCCTCTGACCTTGCAGCGCTACTGATGACAGGTAGTACTTTGCGGGCTCTTTGCAGCTGCGACCTGCGAATCTCTTCTCCCACCAGGCAAGGAAGTCTTTCACCCGGCCAGACTTGTGAGCAAACCCTGCATTGTAGATCATCACAGACACGTTGCAAGTCGACAGCCCCGCCTTCTCCGCTACCCCGTCCCACCACTGGCTGCCTGCTTCAGTCCATTCCTGGATGTACCTGAACGTGTACTGCCGCGTCCCCCCTGCCTTGCCCGAGCCTTCAACTACCCGAGTGATCATGCCGTTGGTTCTCTTCTCCTTGAAGTACTCTTTGACACTCTTCAGGTATGAAGGCGTCACGTCCCCCAGCCCCGCCAGGTAGGACAGCGAACCCCACACGACCCTTGCTTGTGAATCCCCGAGCACGAAGACGCTCTTGGAGCCCTCCGCCCCGATCTTGGAGAGGCATTCTTGTATCTCCTGCGAGTCATACATGTGATGTCGTGACGACGATGGCTGAAAGAACCATCGGCTGGTTTGATTGGCAGCCGGCAAGATCTGCTCCATCTTCGTGTCCTCTCTGCTCAGCGCGAGAGGGTTGCCCGTGAAGAGCTCCGGGTCGTGGCATCTGGTGGGCGAGCAGGCATGGCGGAAGTTGATCCATCGCCCTGGCTCGCCCTCTGAGCTCTCAGCAGAGGGGCTGCTGGGCGAGAAGGAGAGAGGCAGGGACGTCAACCTGAGTCGCTCGGTAGAAAACTCAAACGGCTGCGGTGACGCAAACACGTTAGACGTGTTCTCGCAGTGTGGGAGGAGCCTGGGGATCTCGCAGTAGTCGCAAGTCCTCCGCTCGGTTCCTCCCAGGTACACAGACCCTCTCGGCTTCAGGATCCAACGCGCCTTCACCTCTACCATGTACTTCCCACTCTCTCGCACTTGAAAATCGAGCTTCCAGAACTTTTCTCCGTTTCGCTCAATGGCGTGTGAGCGAGGAAAGACGATTGCTGGCCCAACGGCTCGCGCAAACACGGAGATATCATGAACTCCCACATCTCCGACCGCTGATGCGTTGCTGGTTTTCAAGCAATCAAACACGTACGCAGACAACGAGTTGTGCTTCTTCATAAACAGAACTCCAAGGAAAAGCTTCGCCTCGGAATACAGGAGCGCCTTGCCGCGACATAGATTATGGCGATGCTGATTCGGGGTAGCATGATTCAAATGCTCGCCACGTCTCTTCCATCTCTCGAACTCGTTGGCGCATTCCTGTCTCGATTCCGACAGCATCTGCATAAACTTCGGTAGACTCTCCTCAACAGAAGCTTCTTCGTGCTGTTCATACCCCGCTGTTCGCCTCGTGCTCCGTGAATAGTCTAGTCGAGTAAGCCGCGTGCTCCTGCTCACTCGCGGGACGAGAAGCCGGGAACGAGCCAAGGTGAAGCCTCGGAGTACGAGCAAGCAGAGGTACATCGTTGCAGCCGCCAGGCAGACTCTCCTGCTGCAACCCTTGCGGAAGCCCTGCTCCCCCGCACAGCCCCATCCTCCTCCTGTTGCCGCTCTATGCATGCCACGACACAAGGAAGGGTCGTGCGTTTTCTTTCTTGCAGTAGGGCCAAGAAGAAATAAAGTAGTTTCGCAGGACAAGTGTGAAATACTTCATGTCTGTAACGGATACATAACCGGCATGTCCGGGATGAAGGGATCAAGAGTCGTCAAGTTGCATTCGGGCTCGACATCTGATCGGTATGGAGTATGACGACAATGATTTCTACTGTCCAGAAACATCACTACGAAGATGTTCGAATCCAACTTGACAGACGCGCTGAGTTGATAGAGGAAGCTTTACCACTTGCCTGATACAGGACTGGCTAAGATCAAGGAAAGAGGAGGAGGAGGAGGCGGCGGCGAAGGAAGAGGAGGAGGGGGGTAGAAATTTGTAGGCAACAGTCAAGTAGTGGGAACAACAAAAGGGCTCAAACAAACAACATCGCGAATCGACAACACACATCATGAGCGGGGACTAGAAACGTCAGGAGACACAGGTTCCCCTTGCTGTCCCCACTAGGCCTCCTCCTGCTCCTGCGTCGAGTCCACATCAGCTGCTACCTCCTCCAGAGCCTGCTCCTCCTGCTCCACTTCCTTCCCGTCCCCCTCCCCCTCCTTCAGGCTCCCCTTCCACTGAGCTCGCTCCTGCGTCAGGGTCCTGCACAAGGCCTCCAGCCTCTCTTTCTGCTTCCGCATGCTCGCGAGCTCCTTCTTCGTCTGCTCGTTCTCCTTGCTGAGCTCCGAGGCGCTGCCGGTCTTGTCCATCAGGTCCTTCTTCTCCTTCTCCAGCACCTGCACGACCGATCGCCGTCAGGCAAGGCGAAGTGGGAGGCACGACTGAAAAAGCAGGGGAGGAGAGGAAGAGAGGAGGAGCAGGGCAGGAGGAAGAGGGGGGCGGGGGTTGGGAGGGGGGGGGAGAAGGAGGAGAATGAAGTGAGGAGGGGAAGAGCAAGAGGAGGAGCGAAGAGGTGAGGGGAGCAGGGAGGAGGAGGAGGAGAATAAGGATTAGGTGGATAGGGATGAAGAGGAGGACGACGATGAGTAAAACAATGAGGATGCGGCGGGGGAGGAAGGAGGAGCACGGTGACCGATTGGACTTCCCACCTTGATTCTCTTCCTCAGCTTCTCCGTGTCCTTCTTGAAGGTGCTGAAAACCTCGTTGCTCTTAGCGAGTGCCTCCTGCATCACTTGCACCTTGGAGCCTGAAAAACAACAACAACAACATGTCACACTCTCCTCCTCCTTCCCCCTCCTCCTTCCCCCTCCTCCTCCCCCTCCCTGCCGCCCTCCTCCACTCCCTCCTCCTCCTCTTGCCTCACAATCCTTCCCTCGCTCGCCCCCTTCCTTCCTACTTTCCTTATCCCGTCCCTCGTTTCTTGTTCGTTGCTACTGCTCTTCTTCTCCCACAGCTCTCCTTCTCCTGCCTCCGTTGTCCTCCCCCTCCCTACCCCTATCTCTCTTCTCTATATCTCTCTTCCTCTCTCTCTCTCCCTCCTCCTCTTCCTCCATCCCTCCCCGCTAACTCTCTCTCTCCTCCTCCTCCCGTACCGTACTGCTGGAACGTCTCCATGTGGGAAATCTGCTGCTTCTCCATCTCCTTCTTGTACGTCTCCGCCTGCTGGATAGCATCCTTGCAAATCTCCTGCGTCCTCTGCGACTTCGCCTCTGCGAGCTGAGAAAGAGCTTCAGGGCGCAAGGCCAAGGCAGCATGAGGAGGGGAGTCACTTGGCATTCGAGGTCCTTGGCGCGAAGTTGGTTCTCGTAGTACTGCTCCTTGACCTGAGGAAAAGGGTCAGGAGAGGAGGGGAAGAGCGAGGAGGAGAGGGGGAGGACGGACGAGGAGAGGGGAGAAGGGGTGAGCTGTAGAGGGATGGTATGATGGCTGGTTGCCTGTAGCGAGCGTTTGGAGGATGGGATGATTTAGGAGAGTTTTGGGGGAGGGGTGGGGGAAGTGATGACAGGATTGGGAGGAGGAAGAGGAGGAGGAGGGGTGGGAGCGAGTAGGAGGATTAGAGGAGGAGGAGGAGATTGAGATGGAGGTACAGGAGGAGGAGGAGGAAAAGGAGAAGGGGGAGGAGGACGAGGCGATCGAGAACGGGTAGGAATGAGGGAGATTGGGAAGAAGACAGGAGGAAGGACATGGGAAGATAGAGGATGGGTGGACAGGGGAGGGAGATGAACCTCGTATTTGCTGATGAACTCTCGGAGCTTCTCGCGAAGTTTGTCTGACTCCTCAGCCTCTGCCAGCCGATTCTGCTCGCCAGTCAGCTGGGGACCTGTCGGGCAACGTCGAGCTCGACCTTCTCCTGCTGCTCCATCTTCTCCTGGACGTCCTTGATGGTCACGTGAAACTTCTCGCTCAGCTCGTTCCTCCTCTTCTGTGGGACGGTCATCATCCTTCACCCTGTGCCGGCAGGGGAGGGGGAAAGGGGAAGGAGGAGGGGCGAAGGATGGGAGAGAGAGAAAGGGAGGACAACTCGCCTGCTCCTCCTCCGAGATCAACTTTGACCGTTCAAGGATGTCTTTGTTCTGCTTCTGGAGCTCCTTGCAGAGGACTTCCAGCTTCTGCTTCACCTGTTCCAACCATCTCAACGGGTGAACCCAAGTGCCGATCAAGGGTTCACTCACGCTGTTGACCTTGGACAGCTCCGCCTTCGCTGCGTCCCTCTCACTCTGCGCTTTCTCCAGCGATCTCTGCATCGTCCACATGCCCCGAAGCGCATGACGTCAGCAGACTGCAGCGGTAGGGGCAGCCATGCCCATATCCTCAACGCTCCTCTCCTCACCTGCAGGTTCCCGTTGGTTCGCTCCATCCGATTGCACTCTTGCAGCTTGTCAAGGTACTTCTGCTGCAGCAGCTTCACTTTCTCATTCCCATCCGACATCCCCTCCAGCTGATCCTTCAAGTCCTTGGATGCCTTCTTGTACAACTTCGCTGCTCACCATCGCATCATCGGAGCTTCTTACCAACAGCTCACATCATTCTTACCCAGAGCTTTCTCCTCGTCCTTGTCCTCCGACTGCTTCTTGTCCATCTGCGCTATCTTGGCCGCAAGCGCAGCCTTGAGGGTGTCGTCATAACTCACCACATCTAGTTGATCTCTGCAGTGGTCCCCGTTCCCCTCGTTGAGCTTCGCATCAGGAGGCGCGTGCATGGCAGCTTGTTCGTTTTCCATCCTGCAAAGATGAAGTTCAATCGTGGGCAAGGACAGCTCACCATTCGTACACTTTACCAACTGTAGCCGTTCACTCTCTCCCTCCCTCCCTCTCTGTCCCTGTCTCTGTCTCTCCCTCTCCCTCTCCCTCTCTGTCTGTCTGTTTTTTTGTCTCTCTGTCTCTGTGTCTGTGTCTGTGTCTGTGTCTCCCTCCCTCCCTCCCTCCCTCCCTCTGTCTCTCCCTCCCTCCTCTCTCTCTCCCTCCCTCCCTCCCTCCCTCCTGGATATTTGTTTGGAGGAATCTCGAGCGGTATGGGGTTAAAGTAAGAAAGTAATACTGATATTCTTAAAAGAGATAAGACGATTGAATACAACCAACTACAAAAGGATTTAC